GCGTACCCCAGGACCCTGTGTTGGTGCAGAGTTCCGGAGTCTATTCCAGTGGCGTGGGTCTCACCTCTTGCGTTCTGAGCAGTACATCCTGGAAATAAGTTTTTCTAAGATTTTTCTTTTTTGGGGGGTGGCATTTATTTGTTTGGTTTTGAGATGAAGTCCTGCTGTGTAGCCCTGGCTGGCCTGGAACACTGTGTAGTGGCCCTGGCTGGCCTCAAACTTGCAAAGATCTGCCTGCCTCTTCCTTGTGAGTACAGGAACTAAAGGCGTGCACCACACCCCACGAAAGTTATTTGTTGTCCTGAAGTGTGCACACCGATGTGTCACACAAGAATCAACCTGCTAACAGCTGGGCAGACTCCAGTGACCCAGACTTTCTGTCCTGTCATTTGTGTGCTAGGCCTTGTGCTTCACCGCTTGTCCGTAGGCCACGGGAGCTCCATCAGCCTGGTGGGGCAGTGAAGGGCCGGCCAGGCTATAGCTATGCCCCGTCTCTGCACCCCACTCGGGATTGTCTGCTGTCTGTATTTTCAGCTCAGAAGGGGAGAGAGAACATGTTCTTGGTAGTCGTGTATTATCCAGCCAGAGACGCAGGCTCCACAGAGGCAGGAGCCACTCAACTGCACTCCCAGGAACAACTCCGAATCGGCCCGCCCACCTCACAGGCTGCCACCTCTCCTATAGCCTCTTGCATCTAGGTCTGGCCCGACCATGTGGATGCTGTTTCAGACTTAGGTGTTTGCTAACTCCACACTTGCCAGGGGTTCCTAACAAAACTTTAGGAGCGCCCTGAATTTTAGTCACTAACGTTAGGTATTTCGTTTTAGACAAGCCTCTCCGCCAACACAAATAATTCCAGACCGAACCAGACCAAATAAAAGATGCCTATGTTTAATGCAGTGCTCCCAGGTGGCCCCAGGAAGGCATGCAGAGGGGAAGAGAGGAAAGGGGAGACCATGTGTTCATTCTCTGGGGGGCAGTTTAAGTAGCCTGTGGGAGTGGTCTCAACCCTCCCTGGGGAAGGGTCACCATTTGGCGGGCTTTCTTGAAGGTGGAGTTTGGACTAAGGCAACTCCAAGGGAAGGGGGCTTATGCCAAGACTGGGGTGAAGCCCCCAGCCAAACAATCTGGACTTTTTGTATAAAGGGGTGTTAGGGAGCTGAGGTGATGTTTTCAACCAAACAACTATTTAAATCATTAAATTTTTAACTCCACCAACAGTTGAAGTATAGTAAAGCATAAATAGTTAAAGTGTGGTTTCCCAAGCGTGGTGGCTCACACCTGTAACCCCAGAACTTGGGCGGCAACTTTGAGCTACGTTGGAAATTCTAGATCAACCTGGGCTACAGATCAAACAAATGTCTCAGAAAACCAAAGAAAAGTCAAGGGTGCAGTTAGATCATTTGAATACACATAAACACAAGAAATGTTAAGACTAAAAGAACAGAATTGAAAAACCATAGGAAGGGAAAAAAATCAGTAAAATCAAGTATAACCATTCAAAACTGCAAGCAGACTACCATGCAGGAGTCAGAGTGACTCTGACTGGAAGACTTGGTTTAGTCGGAGCTGTCTCCCCGACACTGGAAACAGGCGGACTGGGCGGGGACAGCCAGTGACAGGAAAAGATGGTTTTGCTACACAGACTGGGAAAGATGGAGGCCACCTTCACAAGGTTCCTCCCTGGGGCCCTTGTTCTCTGGCACTGATGCCCAGCACACACCTTGTGAGCCCAGCAGCGACTGTTGGCGGGAGTGAACAGTGGAGGCCTCTTTAACGGTCTTTGAGAGCACAGACATGCCTGTTGCTTGAGCAGAGCAGTGCCCACACACACCTGGGTTTCCATGGCTCCGTGGGCTGTCTTCTGTCTCCACTATTGCAGGCACCATCCCTCTGGGGGCATTCAGTTCAGTTCTGGTCTGACGGGACACTCAGTAGCTGTTACTCAGGACCGGGAAGTCTTTCTTTACTCATGAAAACAAGTCCAGACAGTCTATTGCTCTGATTTTGTTGTTATTGTTGTTGTTAAATTAGGGCACGCTCTGCTGTTGTGTTAGATTGGGTAAGAAAACCCAGAACAGAGGCAGCGCCTGCACAGAAATTTTACGAACAGTCCTAGCATGGAGAGGGGCAACTTCTGGGTTCTGGTAATGGCCTTAGTTTTTCCTCCTGTCCCCCACACCCACCCACACGCTGGACTTTACCTAGTGCCTCCTGGAGTCTGGGTGCCAGTCACTGTCATGGATGTATGCAGTGTGCCCCCAAAGGTTGACCATCCCACAGCAACCCACCAGTTAGTTACTTAACAATGAGGAATATGCAAATGAACCAAGCTGCTCCTGAGAGCTGTGGCTAACTGCAGGAGCCTTGTCTCCCTGCTAGTGTCCGCCGCCTCTGATGGGCACTAAGGTCTGTGATCTGGAAGACAGCAACCCAGCTTTCCACAGGTGTTCACTTTCAAATACTGCCGGGGTGACAGGTGTCACCTTGTCCTGGGAGGGGATTAATTGTGATTGTGGGTGCTCGCAAGTTTGGAGGAGAAAACTAAGATGTTCTTTGTTGCCCAAAGAACTGGATAGAAAGAAAACTGAAAGCCCTTGCATGAGTGGAGACTGGGGTGGGCGGGGTGGGCCGGTTCTCAGCCATGCAGCATCTCTCTGGTGTCTTTTAAACATCCTGTCTTTGAAATACTGAAGTGCATGTAGCCCTTACTGTTGAAAAGACTGTTTTGTCCTGCTCTGTGCGGGGTGGGGGAGACGGTCTGTCCTTCCTGGATGCCGTGTGAGCCTTCAGGGTTCAGAAGCTTGGCTCTCTTATTCGTCACGACAATAAACCATTTCTGACTGTAAGCGGAGTGGAAACGCTGACTTCATGCTGTGAAAGAGCCTCTGTGGCATGGCCTTCTGAACCGTCACATACTCCAGCCAGGCTGCAGCCTCCTGCCCCCACCTATGGGGCCTCGTTCTAATAGGAAATGGACCCTGCTGTATGTTGTTACTTCTCTGTGTGCAACTAAGATGTGTCTCAGTGGGTAGGGAGTGCTCGCTGAGCCCTGGGTTTTATCCCCAGCACTGCATAAATTAGAATGGTTGCTTACACTTGTAATCCTGTCACCTGGAAAGTGGAGGCAGGAAGTGAAGAAGTTCAAGATCATAGATCATCCTCCCCTGTGCATCAAAGTTGAGGTCAGCTTGGGCTACTTGAGACCCTGTCTCAAAAGCAGTGGGGATAAGCTACTTGGTGGATCCTTTTTTGTCTGGGTTCTTGTTTCCCCTACCCTCACAACTGATCCTGTACACAGACCCCAGCTAATAGACTCCCCACCCCCATCTGCCAACCATGATCAGAGACACCTTCACTACATACATGCACTATAGAGTGCCCATCAGTCTGTCAGCGATATAGAACCTCCCCTTCCTCCTAGGGACCCCTCTCTACTTATCTTTCTTCAGGGTTCCCACCATGCTGCTGTCATTAATAACACTTAATCCCTTACCCAAATAGTAGTGAGCCTCAGTCCTGACCCTGTCCAAAGCCTCCTTTTACACTGTACAGTTTCAGACTGACAGAAATCACAGTGGCAGGCCTGTAAGTCAGCCAGGTTCCCGCAGGATACGTCGGACCTGAGAGACCAGAGTGCCCACTGTTCCGAATTGGTACAGGTCTCTTGCTGCCCTGCAGTTGAGAAGTGATTCTTTCTTTGGCCTGAGCGACTGGCAGAGCTATAGGTCCCTAAGCCAGCGACTGTCATACCAGGTCTCCTGGCTTTTGCTCATTTTCAAAACTCACCGACAAAGGCTTTTTACTGCTGGGGTGGGTATGGTTAGACCACTGGAAATGACCTTGAGTTGGGAGGAAAAGCAGAGGTTCAGACAGCCCCAGGGCCTGCCAACACCAAGGCTCTGCACATTTGCTTCTAGGGTCAGCTCTAGACCAGATGCCCATGTCCTGGTGGTGCCTCTGGAGGGACTGTGGGAGAACTAATTCTTCATGGCTTCCTAGCGGCTCCCCAACACTCCCACCCCCGTGTGTTGTTAATTTCTGGAAATCTATTTATCTGGGTTAGGGGAAGACTCTGGACTGGAATTCGCAGAGTGATGTGATTTGCAGGGGCCGAGCCAAGATGCTGGCGTTGCGTCCATTTATTGTTGCTGCTAAGGGATCGCTGCAGAGCCAGTCCTACTTTCAAAGGCGGAGAAGATAAGGGCGACTGGAGGCCGATACTGATGCAGTGATGTAGCATGCCCTGATTGGCTGACTGCTCACTTGAGTGTAGCTCAGACAGCTTGCAAGTAGCAGTTGTCGCTTTGGAGTCTGAGAGCCAAACAGGCAGAAGCTCCTGGTTTAAAGTGGTGATAGTGGTGATAACATGGTGCTGCCACTCAGCAAGATGGCAAGATGGCCCTGCATGGCCCTTGTCCCTGGCGGCTTTACTGCTGTCTCACAGGCAGTGGGTGCCTATTGAATTTGTAAGAGGTAGGGCAGAGGGTCCTGGCAAGTTCCTGCAGGCAAACCTTCATGACAGTCTTTGAAAAGAGCATGCATTTCTACTAGGTGTGCACGGTGCATATGGGAGCCGCCAGGTCAAGAGCCTTCTGCTTGAGCATCTCTAAACGTCAGCAGGGGTACCCCAATGCTGTATGCATTTGGAGTTGGCATCTTCCTACATGCTGTGTTTTCATTGTTAAAGCTGGCAGCACCGAGAGTGTAGACCTGGTGTGTGACTCCTGTTTGCACTTGCCCGTTAACTTGGCACAGTTGTGTGTGCTGCCGTGAAGCTGTTGTCTGAACTCGTGCACTTTCTACTCATGGTGCCTGGTGGTCCTTGTGCTTAGGAGTGCCAGCCCTCTCCTTTAGGAAGACATGAAGTGCAGATGTCCAGGCAGCCACACTGTAGAAGTCCTCGGGCTTCAGTGAAATTGCAGTTCAGAGACCGTGTATCCCGAGGCCCTCTTAGGCAAGGAACATTGCTCACCTGGTTTCCTGTCTTCCTTCCTAAGGTTCGCCATCGATGGTGTGAACTGATCATCAAGCACAAGTACACAAGAGCGTACGAGCAGGTGACAAGGTTCCTGCAGGAGGATCAGGTGAGTGTGGCTTCCAGGAGCTGGAAATCGGCTGCCTTCACTAGTCCTGAGAGAATACCTGATGTTAGCGTGGGATGGCTCACTGGTAGTCATAAGTGATCTCCTCTCTGTCCTTTGGTAGAGAGTGTTGTGCCACAGACGCTCCCGCCCTCTGTCCTTGCTCTGGATGGAGTGTGCTGTTAGGTTAGACTTGCTCTCAAACTTCAGTCCAAGGCCATTTCTTAGCAACACCATGGGTCCATCCAGTTTGTGGTCCTATTCCAGTTACAGCATGTGTGCGAGGCATCTGGGACACCCTTGGATCGCCAGGCCCAGCCTCCCCAGGAAAGTCTCCTGCCTTGAATGCCAGGCTCTGTGTGTGTGTGTGTGTGTGTGTCTGTGCCTGTGTGTGTCTGTACTGTCCATAACCTCATCTGTCACCTCTTTGATCTGTAGCACATTTTGGGGTCACCACTCAGGGTACCTCCTCTGACATTTTGTACCTCATGACGTGTTCCCACATGACATCCCCCATGTACCACATATTCTCTCCCAACCCCAGCCTGCACCTCTGGCTAGCCTATTGCAAACTGTGGGCTGGTGGGTTGGATAGTAGGTGTGGGGTGGACAAAAGGACTTTTGACAGGGTCTGAGGACGGGGCAGTCAGCAAAGAGAGGGCTGGTTCTTCCGTAAAGAAAGGGATGTGAAGCCGGGCGGTGGTGGCGCACGCCTTTAATCCCAGCACTCTGGAGGCAGAGGCAGGAGGATCTCTGTGAGTTCAAGGCCAGCCTGGTCTACAAGAGCTAGTTCCAGGACAGGAACCAAAAGCTACAGAGAAACCCTGTCTCGAAAAATCCAAAAAAAAAAAAAAAAAAAAAAGAAAGGGATGTGATTTTCTTACAACGGAAATGTCTCATTTTCACAGTGGTGTAAGAGGTGTTTGAGGGAAGGCTGGAGGATGGCCCAGCAGTGAAGAGCACTGGCTGCTCTTCCAAAGGACCCAGGTTCAATTCCCTGCACCCACATGGCAGTTCACAGCTCTCTGTAACTCCGGTTCCAGGGGACCTGGCATCCCCACACAATCACACACGAGCCCAGAGCAGCTCAGTGCATGAGAACCACAGTGTCCAGCACACAGGCACCTGAGAACCACAGTGTCCAGCACACAGGCACCGCCATGCTTCAGTCTAGCAGGAAGCCGCTGCTGTCTTTATCTTACGCTGCCTTTGAAGTCCTTTGAATGTGGAGCCGGAATGTAGCCCCTGGGAAGCTCCCCAGAAGAAGAAAGCAGGCAGAACTCTGGGCCTTGCAGAACATAATTGACTGTTTTTAATGTTGGCAAAGCGCAAATCCAAGCCTTTGTAGCATGGCTTTCAAAGCAGAAGAGCGAATGTCTGATGTTTGGGGACCTGGTAGTGAGAAGTGGCCTGGCTGGGCCAAACCAGCAACATCTGCCCTTGCACTGCTCTGTGGTCCCTGTGGCCTGGGAGGTGATGGGCTTGGTGAGCAAGTTCATGCTGGCTGTCCTTCGGGATGCACTGCCCTCACAGATACAGGGTTTTCCATAGTGACCATTTGTGGAGCTCTGTTTCTGCCCAGAGTGTTCCTGAACTCAGTATCAGAGTGACAGAGTCAATAAAATTTCATGTTTTTATTGTTGTTTTTTTGGTGGTGGGTGTGTGTGTGTTTTGGAGGGTGTTGAGATAGGGTGTCATCATGTTACACTGACTGACTTAGAACTCCTTCATAGGCTAGGCTGGCCTTGAACTCACAGAGCTCTGCCTACTCTGCTTCCCAGTGCTGGGATTAAAGACCTGTGCTACCTTAGAGTTTTGAGGAGGACAAAGGGGAGAGAGAGTAGAAACTGCAGACTGCGGTTGGTCAGCTGATGCAGTTTCTCTTCTCTCATTTGTGTTTTTAGACCAGCTTGTACAAAGCGAATACAAACATGGCCCCACAAACATGTTCAGCTCTTTACCCTTTTCCATTCTTTTCTGGTGTCCATGCCCTGCAGGCCATGGGCGTCTACCTCTATGGGGAGCTGATGGTGGGTGAGGACGCCAGGCAGCAGCAGCTTGCCCACAGGTGCTTTGAGCTGGTGAAGGAACACATGGACAGAGCCTCAGCCCAGGTGGTGTCTGAAATGCTGTTTTAAAGAGGTAATTCTCTCTTTCCTTTCCTCTCCCAACCATCCAAGTCAGTTTGTAAGCACGTGATGAGCCAAGACCACCACAGCACCAGAAATCCTAGTAAGGGCTGTCAAAGGGTCTTGGGGACAGGAAGGCTCAGGATCCCTGGAGCCACCTCATTTATCTCCTGGAATTATGTATGCACCGGTGTGAAACAGAGGCGCCCTCCTGAAAGCGTAATGGCCCCTCCGGCACTGCTTTCTCCACCTTGGGTCTTGCACGGATCTGTAGACATTCAGGGTCAAGGCCAGCACAGGGTTCTGTACCACACTGCTCTGCTCCCAGCTTCTGCATGCAGGCATCTCCTAGGCTTAGTAAACCTGAGACTCCTTTGCCTCTGTCCCCCTGTGAAGTAGGAAGCAAGAGTATTCCTGCCCACCCCCCAGCTCAGTGACATTTGTGTGAGGTGGGCAGCAGGTGTCCCCCCACCCTATGACTTGTGTTTCCATCTCCTGCTGGCGCAGGCTTTGCTCCAGCTCCTGAGGTCTTGGCTGTGCGACTTGCCTCCTCCGCAGCCACAAAGCACGGTGTTCTGTGGGCCGAAGTGTGGGTCTGTATGTGTCTCTCACAGCCATGCTACCATTTCTGCATCTTCTCGAACTTTCCTCATGGTGGTACATGATGTAATGTCTACTTTTGTGTGTTTTTAAATTTCGCATCAGATCTCAATCATTGTTTGTGTTACTTGTTCTCTGTGATTTCTAAGTAATGGATATTTAGAATTGTGTTGCTAGTCCTAACCCATTGTTGGATATTTCATTTGCATTCTCACATTTTGCTGTTACAAAGTCCACTTCTGTGCAGTATGTTTGAGTATTCTGCTTGTCTGAACGGACTATAAGTATGAAGGGGAAACAGTTTCCTGAAGCACGACCATGTTCTTGCAGAAGTGGGGGGGGCATCATAGTCAGACTTGGAGATGATGGGGTGCAGTGAGTAACTGTGCAGCCCCCTGAGCCAGCGCACCAATGATGGGTTGGGCCGTTTCCCTGGAAACCTTTACCCATAGGAAGAGTTGTGCATGTGGTGGTGTGACAATCACCGCGAGGCCCCTGTCCCGCTCCACATTCTCTTGGCCTCACTTTTGGAGAGCCAGAGTCACACTGTGCCTCTCGTGTCTCTTCCTTGTGATTTTTTTCTGGGCCCCCAAGCAGGCAAAGGAGTTGTCACCAATCGTCAGCTCCCCTGTGAACTCTCTCTGCTGTCCCCCAGTCCCTCTAGCTGAATGCTTGGTCACAGCGCTGGAGGCTGAGGATGGGAAAGAGCTGTCCCTGCAAACCACACCTGTCAGAGAAACGCTTCCTCACCTGGAAGCCGTTCAGAGTCTGCAGCCTGGGAGCAGGCTGTGTCCCCAGAGTTTAAGGCTCCTTGCTCAGAGTGAGGGTGGCCACACAGCTGATAAGATGCGTCCTTTGTTGCCTGTTCCCCTAGCAGGCTGGACAGCGGCAGCTGCGCTAGTGCGCTGGGCTCCGAGGCAGTGAGGAGGACGCCCGCCCAGTGTCGTGGATGGGAGTGGTAGGGCACGGCGCTGCCCTCAGCTGCTCTGGCTGCTTGGGTTCCTGGCATGCTGATTTGTGACTTGAGATTAAAATCACATTGCCAGGGATTACCACGCAACCATGACCTTGGCTGCTTCTGCAGAACCGTGGCTACTTTCTCTCTGCAGTTCGGAGACCAGAGGCCCCTTGCGGCTCTTTGGAAACAAAAGAAGCCAACAACCTCGAAGACCTCGGCAGCCCTTTAATTGTTACCGGCGATGACCTCTCTAACAAGGTGCAGAGCTTAGCTGATTGGTGAACAGTGATTGGTTTCCGCTTTGTTCACAGTGGCTAAGTTCTGCACCTGAAGAGAAGGTGAGATGGGGACACTTAAGGTGCAGCCAAGAGAGGCCACACTGGTGGTCAGCTTGTGTGGACCCAGATTCCAGAGGAGAGACCAGCCTGACCCAAGAGCGAAAGCAGTGCGTTGACCGCCCTTAAGTGTGTCTACAGAAAACACAGATCCACTGAATAGCTCACTGTAATATCAGATACGTTAGCAGTCACAGAAAACTAAACCCGGGTGCATCACAAAGTTGAATCAAACGTGTCTCAGCCAGTGCCACACGTGAGGGAGGGCTCTGTTGTTCTGCTGGACGTGGTGAACTCTGTCTTGTATTTGCAGTCCAGGTCTCCATGTGTCCACAGCCGCTGGCAGGAAGATGCTGAGGCACTGCCCCGCCGTCATTGGACCCGCCCTCCGGTGCCTACTGAGCTGATATCAGTTCATTTCACACACTGGCTCAGTTCAGCAGGAACAGGAGTCGAGCCCTTGAGCAGGTGCCTGAGGCGGGCCTCCCTCGGAGAAGAAGAAGAAGGGCCTGAGTCCCAGACCCGGAGAGCAGTGGTATCCCTCTGTATGTGCTCCTGGGGTGGGGATCCAAGGAGCGCAGAACTGGTTCTGGGAAGCCAAGCGTTTGCCCTGTGGTTGAGGCTCCCTGCCACCGGCTGAGTTGAGCCCTCTGAAGCAGTGAGAATACATCATGGTCGGAGGGTCTCTTTCTGTAGCCACCTTGTCACATTGCTCCCTGGGCTCCACATCCCTGCGTGGCCCATGGTGTGGCTGTGCACCCTAGGTCTAGGATTGTGAAGTGTGGCTCCATTCACGTCCCTGTCCTCCCACGAAAGCTCCCTCTCAAGTGGAGGGCATAGGTGGAGGGAACTCCTGTCAGGAATGACCGAGGTGACTGGATAATAAAGTTTATTGCTGTTTTCTTCGCAGGACAGATCACAGTGAGACTCTCTTTCCTATGCCTCCTCCTAGCCCCGATGGGGCCAGGACTGCACTGACCCTGGACATCAAAGGGAGGATTATGTGGCTGCTAAAGCCATCAGCCGACAGCAGCGGTCACTCACTTGCATTTTGGGCTCCCGTGGCATGTATAAAAGGCACATATAAAGCCTCATAAACTGTTGCACCTGGCTGCTGCCTTTGTTCCCGGGCCTGGAAAGACTGAGCTGTGACTTGAAATTGTTCAGAGAGTGAAGATCTCTCCCTAGGCAGATGGAGAACTGGCTGCCTGCTGCCATGGTCTGAGATGACAGCTTCACGCGACACCTTCTGTGGCTGGTCCCCAGAGATTCCGCAGAGTCCTTTTGATGTGTTCACTCAATAGAACCTTTCTGTTTTTGGAAAATACAGGAAAGCCTAAGATGTCTTAATAAAGTGTCGGATTTGCTGGTATTCCTGTTTGCTTCTGAATTTGATGCAACTTAAGACCAGGAGCGAGCATGTGTCAGGATAGGCACTTCCCACATATTCTATCCCTTTCCTGCCTCCAGAGCTTTCAGGAGGCCTCCAGGTGCTGTTAATTCTGAGAAAGCTGAAAGTAAAAGGAATTAATGTGGTGTGGGACTCAACTCTTCCAAAATGTACGTCTCGGGCAGTCTGGCACTATGGGAGTCTCCGGTGAGACCATATTTTCTTTCCTTTGAATATTAACATATCGAACAAGCTCTTAGAAGTTTCCAGTTCCTGTCCAAAGGAAGATGCTTGAGACTGCCGTGGGTGCAGTCACATGCGCCCGGACCAGGCTGAGCCATGTGAGAAAGAACCGGAAGGAGAGTTTCTGCTGCCTGTCTGGGTTCTGCATTCAGGCCCGCTGGGGCAGGAGGCCCCAGGACACACTGAGAGAAGTGTTGGTTGACCAAAGAACCTTGGTCTTGAGAGCCTGGGTCATACCAGTGGCTGCACTGTGTATTGTGATGGCAGAAGAATCAAAATGTGTCCAATCCAACGTGATAGTGCACTGCCTTCTGTGAAGACCTGAAAGGAGAGGCCGAGTCTGTGGCTGCCTGGCTAGAGGTGGAGTGGGGACCACACACCCATAGGGCCCTTCTGTAAGAACCTCAACATGAAACATTCTCTATGTCCAGTGAACTAGGGGTGACCAGCCAAGTACTGGTTTGGTCTGCTTTTGTTCTTTGACTTCCTTAGCAACCACTAAAGCAAAGCAGAGGTAGAATTTTGTCGGGGGGCAAGTGCCCTTGTCTCCGTGGGTCATTTTGATTGCTTGGGTTCTTTCCAATGGCTTCAGGTCAGTGGAAGCTTCACTGGAACTGGATGCCTGTGTCACAAATTCAGTGGAGGATTTGTGGTAGAGCTGGCCTTTGCCATCTACGGCCAGACACAGAACAGCCCTGCCCACAAAGTAGGCAGCAGCTCCTGCACTGCATAACTGTAGCAGAGGCTTGGAAGGCTTCCCTCACTTGGCTGAGACTCCTGGATTCAAGAAGGGTGTATTCTTACATGAGTCACCTGACCTCGCAGTACCCAGAGCGGTGCATCTTTAGCCTCTGTCAATAGGATGTAGACCAGGGTTTGAGTGAGGAAGAATGGTCAGGGTGCTTGATACCGCCACAGAGGCGCCTCATCCAAGGAGGAGCTCTCCCTACTGCATATGGTCCAGTTTGAATGAGTTGCTGGTGGGGGAAGATGTGGACAGTCACCCCGGGCGCCTGCTGCTGAAATCAGATGTGGGGCAGAGTGAAATCACAGGTAAGACATGGACTAGATCACTAGGTCCATGTTTGCTGTGTGCCACGGTGTAGAGCACCACAGTGTGGAGCACCACGGTGTGAGCTCTTGGTCTTCAGAGCAGAGCGTTTGATGCCCTGCCCCACCACTCAGCTGCAGGGGCTTGGAACCGTCCCTCCCACTGCACAGATGTGAGCTTGAGCCTGGGCTTGAGTCTGCTTCCTAAGTATGGGAAGGACAGAGACTGTGCTTCATGGCCAGGCATGCTTGTTGCCGCACAATTTCCAAGCCATTTTCCAACCGTTCCTGGAGGAACCCAGGGTTTCCCCCTTGTACCTCGGGCTTGAAACATCAGCCCTAAGAATAGGCTCCTGGTGAAGATGCCAGCTTCTCACTCTTAGGCCAAGGGTAAGACATAACCTAACAGGAGCAAACCACCATGCCAACAGGCTGATGCCAGTAGTAGGCAGAGGGGCTGTGACCGGAGGATCCTTGTGGGCTCACTGCCAAGAGGTGAGTAGGATAGCAGGAACACGAATCTCTTTTGTCTGTCACCAGTCACTTTGATTACCAAGAAGATGCCCATCACTAGAGAACAACAGACCAGAGCTGTGCCAGCCTGTCCTCACAGAGACCACCCCTGACCTGGCTGCCTTTCCCTCCAGTAGCTAAGCAGCCTAACCGTCACACCGTCTCTCCTCCAGACGAGTGCTTTAAACCGTGTCATCTGCAGAGACTTCCAGCGTGGATTAGGACAGGCCTCAGTAAGTCATGGCCAGTGCGAGACAGGTTCTGCCTGGCTCAAGTAGCCAGGTCTGCAGGAAGACGGCACATCTGGACCGTCTGATGTTGACCCCTGGACCATGGTTCCCTGCGTGGGGAGAAAGCAGCAGTGTGTGCTATCCCTCTACATATCCAGAAGCATGTCCTCACCACGCCCTGATTGGTGGAGGAGAAGTGAACCCCAGGAAGGGTCGGGCTCCCTGGCTGGTAGCCTCCTACCTATAGTGGCTCCTACCACCCTGTCTGTGGGGCTTTGGGCCACAACCATGGGAAAGGAACTGGGAATTCTGACTGGACTTGGACAGGAAGGGAAGGGAGGAGGGTTGGGAAAGTCTCAGAAAGGACTCTGGGTTCTCTCTCTCTCAGCTGCTCCTGTAGAATTAGAATATTTTGAAGCATTTATTTTTAATGGAATTTGCATCAAAAGAATGAAATAATGATATCCTAACAAGTCATCCTTGCTCATGGTAAGCAGAAATGGCATGGTGTGCCCCTGGGGCAGAAACCAACAGATGTTTCTAAACTTGAGCTATCCCTTTAAAATGAAGAAAAGGCTCTGCAGAATCCATTCCAGGCCAATGCCATGCTCCTACCAGCTTCTCTCCTGACCATGGTTCAGCAGGACATGGCTGCACAAGCCCAGTGGGCAGCCACAAGCGCTGCTGTGATGTGCACATAGGGACCTCTGTCCTCCAAAGCATTTCCTTTGTCACGGCCGTCTCTCCAAAGCAGCCAGCTATTGCCCAGTGAGCAGCAGAAGGCGTGCTCAGGAGCTTGGGATCTGAAGACCTGAAGGACTCCTGTGCAGGCCTCATACTCCAGTTCAGCTCACCACCAGCTGGGTTGTGGACGGAGCCAGCCAGTGGAGGAGCACAGCCTGCCACAGCCATGCCTCCCAAGCAGAACTGGGTGGGTACTGGGCTTGTGGCCTTGGCTGGCCTACACTCTGGGTGGTTGGGCTGCCATACCTACTCCCAAAGTACAGGGATGTGCTGCCCACTGGGGCTTAGCATTGGCTTTAAAATCTTTGTTGTTAGTCAGCCCCTTAGAACACTCCCTCCCTAGGACATTTCAGTCTTAGCCACCAAATTCAAAAGAGCCATCAAGATGGTAGCAGCCCTCAAATGGAGAGAGCCCCTGGAATAGCCTAGCCCCATCACAGCTCTGGGGCTCCCAGGGCTGGGGGTAGGGAGCTGCCTCATCCTCCCAGGGAAGGCTGCAGAGAGTAGTCTCAGTGAGGGCTGTGAAGTCAAGGCAGCCATAGTGAAACTGGTCCCCTAGCCGGTCTGTGGGGTTTACGAGGTGGGAGGGGGAGCAGCCCTGCTATTCAGGGCAAGGTTTTATAGCCCCCTCCCACCCATTGGTACTGTCTGCAAGATTGATGAAGACTGTTCTCTTCCAGCCCAGTGACCAGACAGTATAAAAAGGAAGGTGACCACATGCAAGCTGGGGAAGTTTCACAGGACAGGGTGGGCTGTCAAGAACCTTGCCCCTTGGCACTGGTGTGTGTCCAGCATCCCTTGGATGGGATGCTGTAGCTCTACATGGGACAACTGGTCAGAGAGAGAAGCCTTGCTTTGGAGGTTGAGACAGTTGGGAGTGTCCATGCCCTGTTTTCAAGGATGCCCAGAAGACAAAAGAAGCTGGAGTACACAGTCACCAGAGTGTGTCCTCAGCAGCTGATGATGGCCCTTGAAGCCTGGCTGGCACACGTGTGTGTGTGTGCGCGCGCACAGGCTGGAGATTCATGGCCCTTCTGCAGACAGCTCATACTACCAAACCTGCTTATTTCAGTGCCATGAGATAAAATAGGCTTGGGTTAAATACTGAGCTCCAAAGACTGAACAGGGATGGGTACCGGATCTCTTCCCACCTGTTCTGGGTTCACTTAGTGTCTCCTGTCTATGTAGTAACCTTCCCTAGCCACTGCCAGGATGGAGGACCAGGGAGGCTAGGAGACCCCTAACAGAGACACTGTATTTCAAGGCATTCCACAAAGGCTGTCCACCATGGAGGTGACAGGCCAGGCCATGTGGCTTATTGTGGCTGTGTAGTCCAGTGGGTATGTACCTTGTGGGTTCTGATTTCTTCTTTCCTCTTCCTCCTCCTCTTCTTCTTTTTGGTTTTTCAAGATAGGGTTTCTCTGTGTAGCCCTGGCTGTCCTGGAATTACCTCTGTAACCAGGCTGGCCTCGCACTCACAGAGATCTGCCTGCCTCTGCTGGGATTACAGGTGAGCATTGCTACCACCTGGTGGCCTCTGATTTCTGAAGTCACCTTTGTCACCATCTTGCCTTGTCTAAGCCCCGTTTTTATCTGGTGCACTGCTGCTCGGGTCTGCACACCCAGGGGGTGGCAGTGGGGATGTGCAGCAACCACACCTAATTGTACCATTGAGTCTCAAGTTCCACAGTTCTTTTACCTCCGGTAGGTCTTCCCTTGCTGCCCACTGTCTGGATGAGATAACCCGTGGGAGAAGTGTAGGCTTCTAAACCTGGTGGAGTTTCCATCTTTGAGAGGCTGGAAGGAGCAAAGCCACCTGGGACTACAGAACCTCACCTCGTTCCTGACCTCACACTTCAGTGCTGAAGTCTCTGGAGGCTCAGCAGCACAGCCCCGCAAAGGATGGAGACAGCTGTGAGGTTTGCCCAGGGGTGGGAGGCTTTGGGAAGGTGGGGGTTGTGGAGTAGGGATGGTGACTGGACAAGGCTGGGCACACGGCAGATGGAGCCCAAGTCCTCAGGATGCATGGCGGAACACATGGCTCCAGCTAGAGGTGCTGGACTGCGAGGACTGGGAAAAGCAGTGAAAGTGTCACCATGCCGACGAAGGGACGGGTAATGCAGATGTCTCCTTTAAAGTCGCAGATAGCCTTTGACCTGTTTTACTCAGCACTGTTTGACAAAACCCCTAGTAAATCAACCAAGAAGCTGACTTTGTGTACAGGAGACCACAGCCTTCCTGCTTCCTTCCTCCTCCTCCCTTTTCCTCCTTCCTCCCTCCTCCCATTTCTTTCTCCACAGATCAGACATGCACACAAACAGACACTCTGAAAACTGGACAGCTTCCTCTCTGTTTACCTCATCTCTGCCTCAGCCAATCACTGTAAGAACTCCCATTCCTACAATTACCCCCAGCAGAGGCGTCTCCACCATGGTCCAGCAAGCACACAGACCAGCATCCTGCCTTGGAGCAGCAATGGTGCCCTTCACAAATTCCAAAGTCTGTGACACCCAAGTCTGTATAGGAGATGGTGCCCCTTAGGACACCTTCAGATCCTCCCACCTCCACTTCTCTGGAGTTGGGACGACAGACACGCACCACTGCACCTGGACCCACAGTGCTGGGTTTATCCCCTGCCTTCCCTCATTCCTAAACCATCCCTAGGCTCCCTGCACGAGATGATGTGGACTAGAAATGGTTGAATGCTGTGTTAAGTGGGAATGAGGAAGAAAAAAGTTTGAACAAGGTCAGTAAGCACATTCTTTTAAGGCATTTCTATTGCAGTTAGTCGACTCCTCGGGTAAAGAATCCATGGACACAGTAGTTACACATTTGGATTATTTTCATGCAATAGACACATTTGGTTCACGTACGCACTTTGTCGGAGTCCTCTGTTCCATCACTGGTCTCTTCTGTAACTGGGCAGGAAAGCTGTTCTCATCTGTTAGCCACATGCTAACCTGGATGACAGAGCCAGGCCTTGGGTATGCTTTCCTTCCTAAGCTCTGCTCACCTCACTTAGCAGGGCTTCCCCCAATGTTAGCTATACCCTAGAGCCCTGGTTCTGTGTATGCAGAGTTACTAGCATCTGAGGGAACTTCAATGTGCTTGCCGCTGGAATCCAGGGCATGTGAGATGGGAAAGGACACCTGAAGAGCTGTGTATTACAGGGAGGACAGACAATAATTTAGATTTTAGTGGTTTTATTGTGGTAAAATATTCACAACATAGAATTCACTGCTTTGCTGTTTTGGCAGCAGACATCAGTGCTGGTGACACCACCATCTGTATTCTGAACTTCCTCTTACCAAACAGAATCTCATTTGTACTCTGATAGAAGACTAACCTCATCCCCTGCTCTCCCAAGTCCCTGGAGGCACCACTAGACTATTATGAGCTTCTGTTCTAGGGATGGTGTGTGAATTCTGCAATGTTCTTTAGCATCTGTCTAGCCGGTCTAGCTTAGCTAACATCTTCCATATTGGAATCTGTGAGGTTTTCATTATTAAGAATTTTGTATTTATAATTACCCTGCACGTGTGTGTGCTGTGGTGAGTGCGGCACTCAAGAGATCAGAGGACAACTGAGTGGGCTCAGGTCTCTCCGACTCACCATGCCAGGCGTGTATGCTTTCATCTGCTGAGCCTTCTCAGAAGCTGCATCCCTTCTGTAAACGTGATTGGCTGTCATTTGTGTGCAGCGACACTGTATCACCCCGGTCTTCAGTGACTGGACACCGGTGTACAGGTCCCACCCGAATGCTCACCTTACCTTCTTTGGGGTAAGTGAACACAGGTGGATTCTGGATGTGACTGTTACCATACTGTTTCTAGGAGATGTGCACTCAAGTTTAGCATGTGTTGACTTGCAGTCAACAAAGGCAGTGACTCCCTGCCTGTCAAAGCCTTTCTACAGACCTCCAGCACACTGTGGAGCTATAACTGTCCTCGCTTGCATTCTCTAACACAACGGTAAGTCCCTTTCCAGTGTTTAGAAAGTGTTTGTATTTTCCCATCATGTTCAGTGTTTTGTGCTTTCTCAGTCTCTTGGGTTGGTGGCCATTTCTTACTGATTTGTCTAAGAAGTTTCAAATTTAGAGAAGTGACTTTTTTGTTTGTTTTGAGGCAGGATTTCTCTGTGTAGCCCTGGCTGTCCTAGGAGTCACTCTGTAGACCAGGCTGGCCTTGAACCCAGAGACCTGCCTGCCTGGCTGGAGCAGTGGTTTTTGGTCTTATGTGGCCTATGCTTTTCCAGGTCATTGTTTGTAGTCGGGAGGCTTTCTTTTGTTTATGCAAACAGCCAGTTTTATCAGTCTTCTGTGGTTTTTGGTTTTCTGTCTTCTGTAGAGAGGACAACCAGGTATGGCATCTGGAACGTCTGATGTATTGGTCCACAACACTGAGGGAGGGGTGCTTCTAGCTCAGCCCTACAGCAAAATACAGCAACCACAGTACTGGTTACACCTCATTTGAGAAGAACTTCTTGCCAACATCCCTCTGCTCATCCCTCTGTGCTGCTGGGCTGCTTCCTGGGTCTGGGAGAGCCATGGGGGCCTCCCTAGCTATAGACCCTTCCTGTATTCTAGGCCACAACTGTGGTATCAGCTCAGGACCTGCCTTTCTGCCACAACGGGAACAAAACCTTTGTCCTTCAGGCCTGACTTGTTAGAAGCTAGTTGCCCTTCTTTGCTTAGCAGGGGTCTCTGCTTGGCACACTTAGTGTTCTGCTCTGTGGCCTGGGCACGATTTCCTGCCCTCTGGAGACTTCCCAGAGGGTCCTGGGATGCTCTAGGTGAGAAGTGCCCCATAAGTGCATCAGGACTAGAAGAATCAACCATGAGACTGAAGCCTGGACCTGTTTTCATGCTTTCAAAACCCACTAAGCATCAGTCACCCTGCTAGAGCTGCACAGCAGGTCTGCAGTCGGCAGGGCAGGCACATGCACACCCGCCAGGTCTGCAGGTCAACAGGGCAGGCATGCACACCCACGCTCTGCTGACTTTACACACCCAGTTTCCTTTCCCACCCCTGTGGACTTGATACTGTGTGTGGACCACTGAGGACAGTGCCAGTCCTTTCTACAGAAAGGTACAGTGTTTTCTGTATCACACCTGCAGAAGGTGTGTGCCCGAAAGGGTTAGAGGAGGGGGTTTATCTGGTGGGTGGAACAAACGAGGGCCTGGTTTTTAGATGCTTATTTTGTCTTAACGTTGGATTGTGGGCTGTGAATGGCTTCTGATGGCTAATAGCTCATAATGGTTTCATAAAACCAAGACTTCATGTTAAAGTTCGGCATCTAGCTAGGAGCAGCACTGTACTCTGGTTGGAAAGGGAGGGAAAGAAAGAGGGAAGCACACACTGTTCATTCATTCCGCATGTTCCTCGGACGAGGCTGTCCTGGGTTCTGTGGCACTAGGAAATACCTTGCCAACCATGCACCATGCATGTCTCTGGGGTACTTTTCTCGGCCTCCTCTATCCCTAGACTTCAGACCATTAGGAGGAAGTAGGCTAAGAAGCAAACACCATTACAAGGAGCTGGCTACCTGGAGCTCAGATATGAGAGTCTTTTCTTATCTGTGGTCAGGTGTCCTGGTATGCCATGTCAGGTGACTGAGCAACCAGGGAACTGACTCAAGATGCTTGGCACAGTTCACCCAGACTGGTCATGCCTGAGTGGGCTGAGTCATAGGGAAGCAGAGTGGACATGATCCCATCCTTCCTGATTGAGGAGGGACACGCATGTGTGAACATACAGGGAGAAGAAAATGGCTGTGCTGTCCTCTGTTCTTCCATTCAGAACAGACAGTAACTCAGCAACTCTATCTGAGGTGCGTGTGGTTATAATCAAGTTTGGCTTACACGGAACACGAAACCTAACTCTAAGGACACACACGTCTCTCTACCTTCCAGTCATCCTCCCTTCTCTGGAACAGAACCCCAGCTTGTCCTGAAGGTGAGTCACAATTGGTCTTTTCCAAGCCAGGCCTAAGGTTTGTAAGACTCGAAGCTTTTACAGGTAGGACCGGGACGGTTTTTACTCTTTGGGAAACATTGACTATAAAATTAAGTACAAGTTTTTATTTAGAATGGAACAGGTAAGTCCAGCCCCATCCTCATGTGAGCAGCTTGGCAATGCAGTGGGCCCATCAGCAGGGTGGGTAAGACGGACCGAGCAAGCATGCTGGTCAGTGGTTTCCCTGGCTGCTGACAGCCCAGATGCACAAATGCAAGAGAAAGCCAGCGCCCTCCACTTTAGGCCACAGTGCCTCGATGCAACTGTGACGGCAGCCAGCACGTCCCCCCAGGCAGAGGTGCTGAGCACTGAAGCCGATCTGCACGTGGGCAGCGGTTCTTGTTGCAAGTCCACAGGACCGCAGCTGGGTGGCCTCTGCTCACTCGCCTAGCATTCCCATCTACAGCAAGTGGAGAGGAGAGACTTAGGAATTTTCAGTTCCCAAATCCTCTCTCTGTTTTACTAGACATGGGCCACCCAAGAGGTAGGGTTTGGATTTGTTTGTTGCCTTCTTGGGGCATGGGGAGGAGGAAGCACTGACCCTTCCCTGGCCACCTCTGCTCCCTCGGCTGCAATGGATGCACTGCGGAGCAAAGGAGGCAGGCGCTCATCTGCATGGCACAGTCTCATCCTCTCCAGGGCTCCGGTCTCCGGCCACTGGGCAGCTCCCCATCACTGGCAGTGTCATCAGAACAGGAAGGATGAAGCGAGTCAGCAAACTAGCCAGAGCTAGCTGTCACCATGCAGGCTCACCCGAGACTGGGACATGACAGGTGACCCGGGCCCTCCCTGGCCAGCGGGCACCAAGTACCCTGGAGGAGTCGTACATCACTGAACTGGGCAAGGCACAGATGTGGTCAGCACTCTCCTGGTTCTGGACCCCACAGACAGTGTCCTCATCAGACAGACTCCCATGCAGGCCCTGTGCTTTCTGTGTTGCCTGCTAGACCCGAGCTAGGCCTGGGCTCAGCTCCTGAAGGAGCTCTCCGGCCAGTTTTCGTGAGGCTTCGGCACAAAGGAGATCCGATCTATACAAGATCTGGTCAAGAAAGCCAACAATTTCATGGGTGATAGCCTCCGTGTGGGCCATCTGCAATGAAGAAAGAAAGGAAAGATGAGGACACTACCTGGGGACCCCTCTGTCTGGTATACTCAGAGTGAAGCTGCAGGGGAAGTAGGTTCACCTCTGCTTTGTTTACAAGGTGATTATCAAAGCATGTCTGTCCCCAACCCCTCCCCCCCCCCAACAGTGGGGCCAATTCCTGATGACCAACCTCCCCACAGGAGTTCACACACAAGCAGGGTGGAGGCAGCAGGACTTCCCAGCTCACTGCCACAGCTTTGGGATTATGTGCTGTAAGAGCAGGCAGCCCTCATCAATGCCCCCCAGAACCACAGTTGAGACTCTCAAATGTCACCTGTGCAGGACGTTGACCAGGATTCCTTTTAGGTACAGCAGCATAGGAGCCCCGAGTTTGGAGAAAGACACACATTTGTTGTGAGTGGGGCAAACAAGAACCTGCAGGCTTAGCCCCAGCTCAGTTTCCTCTTGTCTCACCAGGTCTCTTTCTCTAGGGTGACCCAAGGTTCTCCATACCTTTGTGGCTTTGAGCCTTCACTGGCTGGCCCATAGCGCAGCCCTTCCTCCCTGGTCCTACTCTGGCCACCAGTAAAGTGAAGCATGCTGGTCAGGGCTGCAGTCTCTGCATCTGCACCTGCCACATGCATCATGCATCATGCACACCTTGGCCATGGTGCTGAGGCCATGCTCCAGCCTGGACACATCTGCAGGCCCTTGGCATCTGACTGGTCACTGCCAGGTTGTGACTGAAGAGTCGCAGGTCTGTGGTGCTGCGATGGCCTTCATTTAGAGGCGGCCTCTATCCTTCCTGGTGCACCAGTCCCTAGATGCCTTAAAGAGCTAATGTATGTCTAGACTCTGGGCAGAGACTGCCTCCCACTCAGGGGCAGGCAATCACTACACAGCATAACCTCCCACTTTTCCCCAGCATGGCGTCACAGAAACATGCCCTGCTGGCCTGAACCACGGCAGTCTGTACAGGGTTTAAGCATAGCAAGTGCAGCAACTTTAGAGCTGTTTCCCCATCTCAGACCGATGCGGGAGGAAGTGCAGTGAAGACAAGAAAGAGGAGGTTCACAAAATGCAGTGAGGGCAGGCAGGGTGGAGGGCTCCAAACAGACCCATCCTGGCACCAGTCAGTGCCGGAGGGTGGGAGCTGCAGCAGGTGACAGCCGGGGTTCGGAGGTCAGCCTGCCAGAGGAGGGGTCTGACAGGAAAATCCGTGCAGGAAAGGCCTGTGGGATCACCAGCTCTGGAAGCTGCTGCTCCTGTCTGTAATTTCCCATGTGCAAAAGCAGCTGTGATGTCTCCCCAATACCTGCACTATATTGATATCATGTGGTGTGTACATGTAACCTCATGGTTGCCTCTCAGTCTTGGGGACATGATCTGTGGACGGTCAGGATGATGACTTCTCATTAAGCTGCATAACTTGGATATACAGAAAATATACTAGGATACGCTTCATAACTAGATCTATTGTCCCACAAGGACTGCAAGACACTTAAAAGCCTGCTTTGTTCCTTTTACAGACTAAATCAAGAAAACAAATTCTCCCACTCTATCCTAAGCCACACATTCTTACCTCAGAGCAAGTTCAAACTAGACTGAATGTTTCTGTAAACGGATCATAAGTCAAAACCTTTACAGATATGCGCACGGTGAGAGTTACAGATGTCTAACCAAGGTTATTAACACAAAACAACATAAAAAAAAATTCAGACCAATTTTTTGCTTGCCAAGTCTGGCCAATAAAACCTGACTCCCTTGTGCAGATCTGTCTGCAGCTTGCCTCACCCGGGCACTGTGCCGTGGCCTCTGGTCACAGTCTTACGCCTAAAACCGTGAACCTTGAACCGCCACGGTAAATAGCTCGGCTCCTTGTTTACCCAAGGAATATGCTATGACCAAGGAGCTTTTTTTCTTACTGCTCAAGCGTCCTGTAAAAAAATCATTTAAGCTGGGTGAACAGAGAAGTAAGAGAGAACTGGGATGGAGAACTGTTGAAACACAGGAGAACCAGGAAGAACTAGAACCTAGGAGACAATTAGAGGACAGAAAAACAGACAAAGAGCATTACCTGAGCAACCCATACCCTCAGATAAAAACACAACAAAAAACCAAAAAGGCAAAGACCCTTATGTTCAGGTTTGCTACACTGTGGAGTTTTTTCTTTGAACCCTGGCTGTAGCCTTGGGAGCTGGACAACAAGCATGTCAGGGCAGAGGCAGAGAAAGAAGCCAGAGCAGATGGCTACTGAGGTCTGTGGCAAGTCAGAAGGCCCAAACCAGAAAGAGAAGCCAGGAACGCAGCAGGAGCCACCCCCGGGCTGAAGCTGGAGACACTGCTCCAGCGGGAGGAGGCTGAAGGCAGCCACTGCCAGCTCTGAGTTTACATTCGTCTGCCCTAGGCCGGGCTCCTCGGGCGGTGACACCCACACCGCTCTTATAGAAGGGCTCTCTGTTGCATGTAGATGACTCCTGCCATTGACTGGGATGGGGTCAGAAGCCCCTCTAAAGGCAGGGTGTGTGTTATTAACAGTTGTATCTGTAAGGACAGTCCCTGGTGGCCTGCTGGATGCCAGGATGGAGCACTTGGAGGAACCAGCATATGGCTTTCTCTGCATGCTAGGCAGCTCAACTGACCTGGGTTTCTGGGATGCTGCAGTACCTGCTGTAGATTAGCACTGTTAGTGGGTGGCTGGAACAGGCCTGATCAGGTGTGTGCTGCACAAGGCCCAACTCCCCTCAGAAGTCTCTGTGGGAGTGGGCAATGTGGCCTGTCTTGAATATGGAAATGTTGCTGGAACACCAATCAGAGGGCTGGTATGTCCAGGAAATTTTGCTGGGGTCCTTTCTCACATCTTAGTCGGTGCCTAGGCCACTGTAGTCTGTGAGGGTGACAGGACTGAAAAGCAGGGGGGATATGTGGCCCTGGAAGACGTCACAGAGGTAGTGAGCATTTATGACGAGGTCAGAGTTCCCACTTCCATGATTCAGAAGCACCTACTATCAACTGCATCAGACCTGGTAATCCGTGGTGTGTCTGCACAGCTGCCTGTGCCTATCCGGTCATGCATGCCTTCTTGCTCCTGTTAACAGCCGACAATTCTGGTACACAGATGCCTGTCTAAGCCTCTGCCATTGGGTGTGTGACATGGTGCCACGGGGCATCTTCCCAGGTGTGATGGTAACAGTGCCACGGGCACCTTCCCAGGTGTGATGGTAACAGTGCCATGGGGCATCTTCCCAGGTGTGATGGTAACAGTGCCACGGGGCACCTTCCCAGGTGTGATGGTAACACAGTGCCACGGGGCATCTTCCCAGGTGTGATGGTAACAGTGCCACGGGGCATCTTCCCCAGTGCTTGTGAACATTCACACATCTTCCGTGGAGAAGAAAGTGTCAATTCCTTCACCCATCTTTTAGTGAGGTGGTTTAGCTTTGTTCTCAGTTCTAAGAATCTTTACATATTTAGAATACGTAACTCCTGCCAGATACCCCCTAACTGATTTTCTCCATTCTGAGAGCCAGCCGTGTGCTCTGATAGTTCCCTTTGATGCACAGGCTGCAAACTTACATACAGCCCAATGTTTCTGTCTTTTCCTTTTGTTGTGTGGGGTTTTTTGTTGTTGTTACTTTTTTGAGACAGGGTTTCTCAGTAGCTTTGGAGCCTGTCCTGGAACTAGCTCTTGTAGACCAGGCTGGCCTCGAACTCACAGAGATCCGCCTGCCTCTGCCTCCCGAGTGCTGGGATTAAAGGTGTGCGCCACCACCACCCGGCCCTTTTGTTGTTTTTGGTGTCACATTCAAAACGCTACTGCAAGGTCTTGTGTCACCATTGGACACACTTCCGGCCAACCCCTTTACAAAGCCGTCAATGCATGTGTGCTTCCAGAAGACTCTCTAACTAGCTATTATCTTCCCGAGAGACTCGTGTGCTAGGGCTTGGTGCTCAACTGCTAGTACTATTTGGGAGGCCCTGGAAACTATCTAGAGGAAGAGGCCCACTGGGGAAGTCCTTAGGGATGTCTCCATTCCGCTGTTTCTTGAACACCACAGGTAGACAGCCCTACCATACATTCTTGCCACAGTGATCTACCTTGCCTGCCCAGCACCACGAAGGTACGTGAAAGCAAATACAGAACAACTCCCTTGCAGATGTCTGTCTCACTTTAGCTTTCCTTTGCTGTGACCAATGTATTAGCCAAAGCCTCTCTCTCCTGAAGTAATGGCCTGTCGCTACTTAGGAGCATGTTGTCACCGGAGCTGGACTTCTCTCCCCAGCATGCGGCAGGTATGCCTTCCCCTCCACGCACCTCCTGAACAGCACGGAAAGTTCTGGGTATGTGCTAACTGTGGCTCTACTGACCTCCATACCCAGGACCCTCTAGGAGGGAACCTACCTTTCACTTAGAGTGAAAGGTACATATGCAGTGCAGTTTGGAAAAAGAGCGACTTACATGGGTGACAGCTTCCCAGGCAACTTCATGGCCTTCTGGGGTCCAGAGCAAGAGGCTAAGAAGCAGGCGTCTGACAAGCTGTCTGCATACAGGTGGCCTGGGGTCTGCACTGGGAATCTCAGCTGCTTTCTGCAGATCGGCAGCGGAGAGGGGGCCACTTCTGAGCAGCATCAGGAGGCAGTTGAGCAATGCCTTCAGCTCCACCTGGGTAGTAAAGTTGAGAGGGTGAGACCTTAGAGAGGGTGTGACACTGGTGTGACTCTAGGACTTGTCTGATGCTTCAAAGCCCCCGGGAGAGAGACAGGCACCCAAGCTTGGCTAATTCACACACAGCTCTACATAAACCAAAATGGGCACAATGGAAATTTCTTGACTTTCTTTCCTCTTGCCCACAAAGCAGCCAGGGCACTATGCCAGGACCTGACCTTTTTTATATGAAGGCAAGTCCTCAGCAGAATGTCGTTAGAATTTTCTTATTGTGGGGAAACAAAAGGCCCCTTGAAGCGGACCCCTCACTATCAGCCACAATCAGCTAGAGCCACAGGCCCACTGGGCGGTGCTGGTAAGAATGCAGGCTGCCCCTGCCTGGGCTGCGAGGTAAGCGCAGGCCACACACACACAAGCACGTCTGTTCTGTTGCAGACACTGGAACAGTTGTTCGTACATGCTCACAGCTCAAGCAGAGGTCACAAGTCTGTGGAATCCACATAATAACAGTGACTGTTCTAAGTCCGTGGGTTGTTTTTGCATAAAAAATATTTATTTCATGTTGAGACTCCTGTGGCTCACAGAGCGAGGCAGAAGCTGGGGGCTGCAGAGATGCTGCGCAGGACATCGCATCCAAGGTCCGTCCTGCAGAAAGGCTCCGCCGCCCTGTTCTGAGAATTCCCATGGCTGCTTCTGCGGGTCTGCAGGTTTAGGCCCCACTAAGAGCCATCTGTCAGGGATAACGGCTCCTGACAAGACTGACTGTGAGAAAGGAACCACAGCGTTCTCCACTGAGGGAGCAGTGTTCCCTGGATGGCCACCACCTCGGCCAATGACATCTCTGGAGTCTGCAAACTCTGAGCACTCCGGGAGAGAAGCTTCTCTCTGCCTGTACTAGACGCTGTTCTGTCCACACTGACTGCACCTCATGTGCCTTCTGTGTCTAGATGCTTCTATAAGGGAGGCGTGTGCTCTTTGAAGTATTTTCTTATTTTCATTCTACATTATAAAAATTTACTTTTGCTCACTATGGAAAACATGAAGATGAAGGAATGATGAACAATCCCCCACTCATCCTCTGGAGGCATCCCCACGCTTCATGCATTGGGAGTAACTGTTTCCTGCCCCTCTCCTACATATCCACGTGTACCATGAGCCAGTCGCATGCCTGAGCACTACCTGGTAATGAGACTCTTCCTGGCAACGTGCTAGTCCACTTAAACACTAGCAGCTTATGCAAGCTCAGAGCATTTCAGCTCCTGCAGCTATGACTCTGCTTTGACGCCCACTGTGTGCAAGCAGCTGTGTGAATCTCTGCCTTTCCAGAAGATTCCTACAAGTGAGAAGACAGTGTCTGAAAGGTGCGAGGCCCTGACCAAGCCAAAGGGTACCTAGAATACAGTCTTCAGAGCCAGAGCAGACGAACACAGCTGGCAGAGGTGCACCCTAGGCAGGACAGGTGTTCTCTGGCCCAAGGCTGGCCAACAGAGGGCTGTCTGCCGCTGAGTGACTGTGACTTACAGGTTTAACATCAGCAAACTCCAGAGGTTCTGGCTTCTAGTACTAGGCAGTGGCTGCCCCTGAGTGCCCGGCTAAGGAGGAAAGACAGACAACACCAAGCTACTCTGGATGGAGTGACTGCTTTTATTCAGGTTAGGTCTAATCACCCCAAGAAAGACCGAGGCTTACATTTTTTTTTTTTTTTTTTTGAGACAGAGTTTCTCTGTAGTTTTAGAGCCTGTCCTGGAACTAACTCTGTAGACCAGACCTCTAACTCACAGAGATCCACCTGCCTCTGCCTCCTAAGTACTGGGATTAAAGGCGTGCACCACCACTGCCAAGCCCCGAGGCATAGTTTTAAAGAAAAATATTCATGAATCCAAGTTAGCTAGTAGAAAAAGGTGCCAAATGTAGACCTTTCTAGAAACTAAGTCCATTTTAAATAGAAAAAAAAAATTATGTGTGCATATGCACACATGTGCAGCCCAGGTATGCCTTACATGTATGGAGGTCAGAAACCACTTTGGGAGTTGGTTCTTGCCTTCTGTGATGTGCCCCAGGATCAAACTCAGGTTTCCAGGCTTGGCAGATAAAGGCTTTATTCACCGAACCATCTTGCTTGCCCCTATAAGTTAAATCTTACAGGACACAACTCTGTATTTCAAAAGTCAGTCTGTATACGTATCTATGCTCCATATGAATTAACATATACCTACCAATTTAGTTCACAAATAATCTAATAATAACAAGTGCTTCATACACCTTCATCATCCTACTACAAGATGAAAGCCATGAACTAGAATTGTGCTTAATCAGTTTAATGTGATATATATTTGCAATTTTTATTATTTATTGAGTGTATGGGTGGTGTGAGTGACACAGTGTGTGTGAAGTCAGAGGGTAACTCTGGGGAGTTAGATCTCTCTTTCCATTCTGTGGGTTCTGGGGGCTGAACTCAGGTCAAGTGCCATTATGTGCTGAGTCATCTCACCAGCCCAAATGTGATGTTTTAAAGTGAAGACTGATCCCTTTTGAATTATGCAGCAATCTTCAAATACATATGTGGATAACTTCTTTAATATGCTTCATTCTGATCCAATATTATCCTCAAATTTCAATTCTTTCGAATTCCAAGGCTCATCTTCACCATGCTATGGAAGCCTTTAAGTCAGTGATTCTCAACTTCCTAATGCTGTGACCCCTTAATACAGCTCCTCATGCTGTGGTGACCCCAACCATAAAATTATTTTATTGCTACTTCATAACTAGTTTGGCTACTGTTATGAACTGCACTGTAAATATCTGTGTTTTTCTGATGACCCCTGTGAAGGGGTTGTTTTACACCCACAGCTGGAGAACCACGGCTTTAAACACATGAAACACAAGACTGCACTAACCTCTGATTCTGGAACTAACAGAAGCACTATTCCATACACACTGAAACCTGTTCCTCTGCATTACTATAGTAAGGGGAAAAGCACTGGAAACCAAGGCTTTGTTTTGTTTTGTTGTATTTCTTTATTTCCTGTGCAATGGTATTTTCCCTGTAGATCTGTGTGAGACTGTCAGATTCCCTGGAACTGGAGTTACATTATGAGCTGCCATGTGGGTGCTGGGAATTGAACCCAGGTCCTGTGGAAGAACAGCCAGTGCTCTTAACCACTGAGCTGTCTCTCTAGGCCTAGACTGAAGCTTTAAAAGCCAATAAGTAAATGTTTGCAAGGAGGTGACAAAGCTTTAATCAAAACGTGGCTCCCTGAAATAACTACATTCTACATAAATAACAGCATCTTTGCCATAGACAGATGCCCAGTCTTGCGCATAGAAACTCTGTTATTTAGATGACCAAATGGTTACATCATGTGATTCCCTCAGGAGTCTGGCTGATGTCGGAAAATGGTAAGTGAGACTGAAGGAGACTGGCCAGGCTGCTGGGTGTGGGGGAGGGGAGAAGACAGTGGCTCAGGGGCCAGGCTGTCCTGGGACAGAGCAGCGTCTCAGAGCAGCTGTCGTATCTGCGTGTCATCTCCTAGAGCATGGACCCTGGGATGAGCATGAGGGCACATGAGGGCAGCTGAGGCCACTGAGCAGAACCTGGGATCAAATAACCCTGGGGACAGGAGGTCCAGAGCATGAGAAGCCCGGCGGCTGGGGCAGCCTCGTCTCGGGTCCCTGCGGAGGCAGGAGAACACCATGGTCTGCGAGCTAAGTCACCCAGCACACATGACAAGTGCCCTGAGTCTGAATGGGGCTCAGCAGACGTGAACCAAGTCCTGCACTCACCATGGTCTGTGCTCTCTGCTGACTCCCGTCCTGCGGGCTGTAATAGAACACCACGAGCCACAGCAGGTCTGCAGGGGGCTCAGCTTCCTCCCTCAGCAGCTGCTCCATGGCCAGGTCAACCCATCCTCCAAAGTGGGTCAACAAAAACCAGCTCTCGAAGGGGTCTCGCTGGGACCTGGAACAGAGCAAGACACACATGGCAGCCTCGATTCGATCCTCGTCCTTTTGTTCACAGTAACTTTAATGTTTGTGAACTAGTACTTTAAATTGTACTTACCCACTGAAGAAAGACCCTCAGAGACAAACTGGATTCAGAAAACCTTTGTGTCTCACCTAAGCCCATCACAGGACAAACGCAGGGACCCTCCCATGCACACATGCAATGATATTTATGTCTTTATATCCAGGCACCTATAGGATTTTAGGCTCTGAGAGAGATCTGGGGACTGTGGGGCAGCATGAGGAGGAAGAGGTGAGGCAGCAGCAGAAATACACTCTTCTCACAAGTGTTCTGGTAGTGTAATGTGTGGGGTGCACTGTTTCAGCTCTGCAGTCCTGACAGGCACAGCACAAGGGTGGAACAGCCTAAGCTCCTGAGGAGAACCTTCGTTAAACAGGAGCATCATGGCCTCTGCAGTGTCTGCAGGACTTGTGGAGTCCCCACGTTCTAAGCATGGTTCTTGCCTTCTAGTCACTGTCCTATACCTCCCTTAGAACGAGTGATTTCTATGTTTTAAATCATGTTCGCAGGACTGAAGGGAAGAGGAAGGCAGGTGCCATCCTGTCAGAGGAGGATGACATCACTGCACAGGCTGAAGGAGCAGGGCTGCACAAGTCCCTCCCCCTCCCACAGACCTCATCAGCGAGTACACTGAGTAGCCAACCCTACTCACAACTGACCTTCCCCTCTCTTCTTCCGGGGCGGGGGGGGGGGGGGAGGGTGGTGTCTTACAGCTGCTCCACACCCTTTCCTATAAGATACCTCAAGGCTCACTGAGTGCACAGGCACTGGCAATGACCCCACCCGACCACCAGCCTTTGTGTGAGCTGTTATAAGAATCTGCCAGGGAGGAATGTTTGATGGAGAAAGCATTCAATCATACATGTGAGCACAGCAGCACCTACGGTGCGGTCTCAATCATACATGTGAGCACAGCAGCACCCACGGTGCGGTCTCAATCATACATGTGAGCACAGCAGCACCCACGGTGCGGTCTCAATCATACATGTGAGCATAGCAGCACCCACGGTGCGGTCTCGATCATACATGTGAGCACAGCAGCACCCACGGTGCGGTCTCAATCATACATGTGAGCACAGCAGCACCCACGGTGCAGTCTCGATCATACATGTGAGCACAGCAGCACCTACAGTGCGGTCTCGATCATACATGTGAGCACAGCAGCACCCACGGTGCGGTCTCAATCATACATGTGAGCACAGCAGCACCTACGGTGCGGTCTCGATCATACATGTGAGCACAGCAGCACCTACGCTCGGCACACTAGAGGAACTCGGAGAGGGGACAAGAGGGCCTTGGGCAAATGAAGAACACGCAGTCATTTATCATCTGGATGTGAGCAAGCTCAGGACTGGAGACACTATGAGCTGGGGGCGAGCCTGTGTGGGAATGCTTTTGGAGAGCAGCTCCCGGAGGAGGGCCTCCACCATGCTGCCTGTTCGCTTTGGAGACTTATTTATTTTTACATTTATATGTGTGTCTGTGCATGTAAGTGGCCACAAAGCCCCCAAAGGGGCATCAGAACCTCTGGACCTAGAGTTACCTACTGTGGGTGTCAGGAACCGACCGAGTCCCCTACAGAATGCATGTGCTCTGAACCACTTAGCCATCTCTCTAGCCTTGGAGAGATTAGAGAAATAATGGCAAAGAATAAAAGGGGGTGGCATACAAACAGTTAACATTTCCTCCTTCTGATCAGGAGCTCAGTCTTCTTCCTAGAGAACCAGTGACAGCTTCATGTGGTAGCCAGGAGCTCAACATGTGGGGCGCTGTTCATTTCTGGAGCCTCTCTCCTTTGCAGACCTTACTAAAGCTGACTATGTAGATGCCCTTGCAATGCTGGCTGCTCACTCTGACCCACACTTTCTCCACTTCTCACTCACTGACAGTCGTGTGCTTGTCTGAGAGGGGTCGAGCAAAGCCTTCAGCTGCCAACCTGCTCAAAGAGGTCAGGGTGCTCACCCATGAGTGTGGTCTTCAACTGCTTCTCTGAGGAGCTGGGAAATGTGCAGCAGAGGCTGGAGCCGATGCCTCTGTGGGATAGCTGTGGGTGGAAAGAAGTCGGGGGGAACTGAAGGAAAGCCAAACCCATGGGGAGACGCCCGCAGCTTAGACTGAAAGCATTGTGCAGAAATGCCCCCGCCCCCGCCATTCACAGAACCCATGTCATACTTGTCTCAGCCAGGATCTGTCTCTGAGTCAAACTTCAGTTTCTTTTGTTGTCTTGTTTGAGACAGGGTCTTACTATTATAGCCCAGGCTGGCCTTGAATTTACTATTTGTCCGCCTCTGCCTTCTAGGAACCAGGACTATAGCCCTGCATGCCAGGGCTGATTTCAGGTGTCTTTACCTAGAGTACACAGAAGTCAGGAAATCTTGGCCAGCCTTGTTGCAGATGCTCTGCATTTTTCTTCTTTCCGTATTCTGGCTCCGTCTCAAATTTGTGACATCAAAATACTATTCAATATGGTCCATATTGAATACATCATCAAGGACAAGAAATGGCTAGCTCAACTGTTTTGCTGGGGTGTGATTAGGCCAAGGAAAAAGCACAAACAACCGTGCAAACAAACAGAACTTGTGTGTGTGTCTGGTTTCATACCTGCCTCTGAGCATCTGATCTGCATGTATCTGTAGCTAAGATCAACCACGGACAGCTCCAGAGGTAGAGAAGCCACAACTGCTGGACCCACAGCAGCCCCTCCCTGAGGCCAATGGCATTTCCTCCTTCTAGTACTAAGTACGATTTTTCCTCTCCTGTAGTGTGAAGTTCATCAGCAGTGACTTTTTACGACCCAGGACCTCACCGTGAAGGATAGTTCTGATGAGCAGGCTTACACACTCATCTCTCAATGTGTAGGTAGGATCAACGCCTAGCTGCTCAGTTTTTGCTTAAAGTCACTTGCTGTCTTTGGGGGATGGGAAGGCAGACAGCTTGAGTTCATGCTGTGAAACATGACTGCATCCAGGTCTCAGAACCTATGCTCCAGTGTGTTAGGAGCCTCAGGCTTACACAGTGGGCTAAGGACAGTCACGGTCCTACTTTTCTCTTCTGCTGACACCTTTTCCTACTGCGTCCCCACTGCTGATGTCCCCACTGCAGACGCCTTTTCCTACTGCGTCCCCACTGCTGATGTCCCCACTGCAGACGCCTTTTCCTACTGCGTCCCCACTGCTGATGTCCCCACTGCAGACGCCTTTTCCTACTGCGTCCCCACTGCTGATGTCCCCACTGCAGACGCCTTTTCCTACTGCGTCCCCATTGCTGATGTCCCCACTGCAGACGCCTTTTCCTACTGCATCCCCACTGCTGATGTCCCCACTGCTGATGTCCCCATTGCTGACGCCTTTTCCTACTGAGTCCCCACTGGAAAAAAAGAGAAAGAGGAGAAGGATGACTGCTCCTAAGTATGGTGGAAGAGAAGATTTCAAAACCACCATGCGGGCATCCCACTGAAGCCAATGTGGTCACCCCATCCCAGCTCTGCCAGAGGGCTCTGTCACGTAAGTCACCTTGGGCAGAACCCTACATCTTACAGAAAAAGGTAAAGGTATTTAGACTTTGTAAAATGCCTTGAAACTCTCGACTGTCCGCTTACCTCAAACAGATCTTACTCGAGTATGGGGGAAAGAAGCTATAGTGGCCACAGCAGGGAAACATGAGCCTCCTTCATCCTTCCCTTCCTGTCACAGCCTTGTTACAGACTGTCAGCTGGCGTCAGAGGGAAAAGGCTCCTTTATGTTCCATAGCTGAGACATTCCCTAAACATGAGCTCATAGACACAGTGCAGATCAACACCAGATTACAGACATGGCCTAGAGTGGCAGATGAATCAGAAAACACTGGGGCCTAACAATAGAATTTTACTGAATCTTTTCAAAATCTTCTCCTTGGCTTGGATGAAAAAAAATCTCCCTGAAATTCAGTGCCCTCATCCTTCACTTTATCCTTTGTTCTATAACAAGGCTGCATGGAGAAAGAAAACAAACAAAGCCGCTGTTGCATTCTGACTCAGCCTGTCCCTGAGCCTCAGCAAAGCTGCTATGGATGGACAATCCCAGCAGCTGGGCTCTCTTCTTTTCCCTTATCACCCCTGGAAGTGAAGCAGTATTTTCTGAGGAGGAAGAGAAGACCTGGGAGGCAGCCACCGTGACACAGACGAAGGCACCTCAACTCACCTTCTGGGCGCTGGGACAGCATGGCAGTGAGGGATGGAGCACCGTATGGGAAGTAGGTCTTGAGGGAAAACTTCATCTACAAGAGTCAAAATGGAAGTGGCATGAACGCTGGGACTGGGGGGCGGTGAGAATAAACCTCTGGCTGCCTCAGCCCCAGAGACCAGACCCACTGTCCTAACACAGCAGAAGGTATCCTCATTTTATAATCTCTTAAGAGGCCAAACAACATCTTCTGGAACTGAGGGCAGGCACATCATCTTGCTGCCATTTTTACCGAAGTTTCTGCTCACACAAGTCCAGCCACAAACGCTATCTTCTATTTCAGAGAGAGCTGCTAACACCTGTGGGACAGGGCCTCACTGTGGCATTGATGACAACCAAAAGCAGCCCTACACTAAGAGCATGAGGCTGTGCATACCAACTGCATCTCCCAAGGGCATGGAGGTTTTGCAATAAAACTAACACAGGTAAAGTCTACAACACACGAGTTACAGGTTCTAAGTATAAAGCTTGAGAATCTTGGGTGAGCATGTGAATCCCCCTGACCAGAACCTCCTCATGACACACAGAATGCTGCTGTCACCCTGGGGAGTAGGTCAACCGCCAAACCCTAGGCTTGCAATCAATATTTTAATTTCAACAGAGATCAAGAATTACACCCCAAATTGCGCACAGACAGACACACCAAGTATGCATGCTTCTGATCTAGTCTTCCCGGTCACAGGACTCATGCACCAGGAGTTGCTTATCTGCCCTCAAAGATGAGTAGAATTAGCACTGCTATGGACACTCATGTCTTTGTCGCAGGTCTTTGCAAGGGTGAGTACCATGGAAGAGGTAACTTTTCAAGCCCAGCAGTGCTCCATCCCCATCACCGGATGAGAATTATCTGCCAACACTGGGTGCTGTGGAACTCATTGGCTTTAGCTGGTCTGCCTGGTATGAAACATTCCTTCACACATGGTTGATTCTGAGCTTGCTCTGTGTGGCAGGTGATGCTGACCCCATTCCTGTGCTCAGCAACAATTTGAATAGCGCTCTGAAGTGTGTGTCCATTAAAAAAAAAGCAAAAAACAAAATACTGGCTGTTGCTTCCTACAAAGTTGCAAGAGACAAAGTCTTCCAGGATGAATACTGAAAATGTCCTTGCCTAAAACTAGGGCCCAGGGTGATCTCTTACTCCTAGACATACATGGCAGCAGTCAGTGTCTTAAATCAAAGGCACTGTAACTCCAGTGCAAACCCACAGCACCAAGGCCAGCAGACACTCATGGCAAACTCAGAACAACATTCAAGTCAATGCTGAGAAAAAAACTTTCTCTCATTCTCTGCCCTTACTTGGGCATCCCAGAAGTCCAAACAAGGACAAGGTTTGCCAGAGGTCATTTCCTCCCTGGGGACACCAAGAGTGCGGTAAGGGAGGACGGCACATGTTTACCGCTGTGCTCACAACCGTGAGTGCCAGCCAGATGCCAAGCTGGGAATCATCAATGCTGTTTCCCCAGGGAAACAGGGATGGCAAGAGTAAGTCACAATGTGTACGGTTGCCTTAGGAAGCAGGAACATCTGCTAAACCCTGAGACCTCCACAGCCTTGGGCTGAACACCCTAGCTCTGCCCTCCTAAGTAAAGCTGCAGACAGCAGCAACAGAGAAAGGTGTAGTAGGCAAAGCACCACAAAAACATCCCTGTGAAACAGGAAAATCTCCTGTTTCACATGGTCATTCTAACCAGCCAGCAGCCCTCACAGATGCTGTCCAACCTCTCTGCTGAGGGGAACTTGGAGTCCTTTGAGCTACTGGTGGTATCTAACTTCTACTACTTCTTCAAGTCCCTCCCTGTCTCCACCTCCTGTCTATCCGGGGCTCTTGGGGGAACAAAAACAATGACCACTGAGTACACCCAGCCTGCAGTTTCTATAGTACATCCTAGGTAGACTACACAATGTTTCTTGATGGCCACGGGGCCAGCTGCAGACATAAGAACAAGCACAGAGAGCGAGGAGGCAGGGATGAAGGCTAGTGGGGATTCTCCCTCCAGAGAGATGGCCAATGTGAAGACACAGTCAAGACACAGCAGTGGTCAAATGGTGACAGGCACAGGGTATGGGGGAGGCAGACAGAATCTTTAATAATTTTCAGTTAAGTGTTTCATCTCTGCAGGAGCTGGGAGTGCAGCCAGTGTCAAAGCATGCGCCCAGCACGTGTGAGGCTGTGGGTGGTCTCCAGCACCAGAAGGACACAATTTCTTAGAATAAAGATCCTTTCCACCCATTTCCAAATGTCCACCGCAGCCTCCTTTGCTCTGCAGGGACTGAGCAGCTCACAGTGTGATGTACCTGCTTGTGCTCTTTTTCCAGAGCTTCTGCCAAGCACGACATGAAGACCTGAAGAGCGGCGAGCACCTCTGGGGCTCCGTCGGTCTCCAGCAGCACAGACCTGGAGAGAGCAAGGTGAGATAGTGACACACTCCCCCCACATCACAAATCCATGCCACAGCTTGAGCTGCATCTTAGTTCTCCTGGGTGAAGGCAGGAGGAAGCACCCCTGCCCATGGGCTGGCTTCTGTTCTCAAGCTCGTTAGTGTTCATGAGCACAGCGCCAGCAGCATGTGCTCTGCTTTTGTCACCAGGACAGGACTAGCTGCCTGGAGAGCAACACCCTCGGTCGGAATCACCAGAGGGCTGAGGAATCAGGTGTACGTGGGTTTGGTTTCCATCCATATTTATATAATTAACTTTTTTTTAAGAAAAAAAATTTTCTCAAACTTTGACTTAAACAAAGACACTAGCCTGACTTTTTACATCTGTGGCCATTTAAGTTAAAGTTGGTATGTTTTAATGGTAACACAAATGGTGAGGTATTGGTTGTAAAACTTCCCTTCCTAGGTCTGGAGAGATGGCTCAATGTTAAGAGCACTTGCTGCTTTTCCAGAGGAGTTGAATTCAACTGCCAGCCTCCATATCAGGCAGCTCACAACCCTCTGCACCTCTGCGGGCACCTGCACCCATCTGCATATACCCACACAGACATGCAAACACCTACAGATAATTACAAATAATAAATCTTTAAAAATTCCTTTCCCGGAGCCTGCTGTCTGCCCTGGAGCCCTTCCTCCGTGTCTTCTGTGAGAAACAGGTGGCTGAAGGCAGCCCAGACCCCAGCTGCTCCACCCACATGGGGCCGGATGCTTTAGTCTGTCTTTAGGACTGCACTGCTACAGTCGCCATGATCCTCCAGAGCAGAGCCCACCCGGTGTGGTACATACTCCTTACCTGTCCTCAGGACCCAGAACCACCATGCTGTTGAAATGTGGGCTTGTGCTGCCTTTCAGAAGGCTCTGCTCAGAATAGCTGTGTCTTTGGCAAAGCCCAGTCAGCCCTCCTGTGCTGAAGGGCTGTACTGCTTGCTTAACCTGTGTGCATATTTCACTAATTCAATTCCACTCCTCTACCACTGAGTATATAAAAAGGTTCAGGAATACCGCCGCGTTCCTACTACTACTGCACACTAACTTCTGAGTTTTCACCACTAACTATCCAAAAAACTCAAGCCTCAAGACAGTCAAAGACTACTGCAAGGATTCCTAATTATGTTTGGAAGCTGAGCATTTCCAGACTGACTACTCCCAAAGACATTGTATTTACCTGAACATTTCATCTACAATCCTGAAGATGGCAGGATGGCAGGCTGCTTGAGGCTATAAAAGGAAAAGACCGTGAGACAGTGAAATACAATAAGTGTCCATCAATAGCAACTTTAGATGATGAGGAATACAAGGGGTCTATGGCTGCTCCAGAAAGGGGGCACGGTCCTTTTCTAAGCAAAAAGAGCACTGGGTGCATTGAAAAACTCACACATAAAATGCCAGCAGTGGGCAGGGGCTGTGGGCAAACTTTACTTCTTTTTATATTCCTATTATATCCTCTATTTTCTCTAATAAGCCCATATATGTAGAAAAAAGTAAGTTTCGTGAGCAGTTACAAACCACTTTATGACTCAAGCCACGAGACCTGCCTTAGGACCTCCTCAGCTGGCCTAGAGGCACCCCAGCGCTGCCTCCACCCCAAATTGTTAATGAGCACTAAGTAAGAAACACGGGTCTTATGCTGGGCATTCAGTGCAGGACATTTACCAGTTAACAGAAAGCACAGCTGTGACACACCCAGTGACGGCCAGCTCTCTAGCCCTAGAACAGCCTGTTGGTGGGTTCTTGATGGTTCCAATCCAAAGAAGCTGGCTCCCTCAGTGGGCCTTACCAGTGTCCACACATTTTTTGGTCAGAACATAACACTTGAGTTTATAAGAGATTTTAAAAATCCCATTTGCATTATAAAACTCACAGTGGCACCCAGATATGCATAGGCCAGGCTCTAATGAAGGGAATTTCTGAGTCATTTTGTGCTTGCTATGGCTAGTGTTGAGAAACATTTCTCATCGCCATCTTAGGCCCTATGCGTCACTTTTCTGAAGAATTCCGAAGAAAGCTCAGTGTCTATCTCCTTGTGAGTTCTGCCAAGGCAGCTTAACTTCAACATGGAGTATGTGCCATCCAGTGGTCATATGTGAGCATTACAGACTGCCATTCAAAAACATTTATGATTTTCAAGTTAATGCTTTCTGACTTTGAAGTAAAGTAACCACGATTTCTAACCCTTTGTCAATATACTTCTTTATCCAAATGAAGTGAACCTCAGATTCTCATGAACATGTCACCTACTTAAGAAATGGACGACAGGTTATTTCTTGACTCTGATCTCAGAAAGTCATTTAATTTGCCTGCTCCTCAGCCTCACTATAAACACTTAACAATTGTTAGGAGATTTGGACACAGGCCCAAAAAACACTGAAGGGGTTTCTATGTGATCATAATGGAAAAGTCCAAACAGGAGAAAAGCAAATTGCATGTCTTAAAAGAAATAGAAATCAGCTAAGTTTGCCAGGATAATTCTGTTTTACGTGGGAATGCACCTTCTAGCCCCCCTTCCCCCCAGCCACAAGACCAGACCAGGATTCAGGAAGGTAAAGTTATTTTCTTTTCTCCCAGCCCCACCCTGGCCACTGAACACTGGAGAATCACGTGGGCTGATGGTATGGATTTCTAAATAGTAAAGAAAAAGAAGATGCAGGAGGCACCTGAGTGACCACCAAAACCACAGGAGGACACAAGGAAGGGTGTTCTAACCTAGTTTGTCAAAGAGAAAACTGGATGAGCTTTGCTCTGATGCAATGGTTTCCTTCTGAACAGATCAGCCAGGGATCCCACACACCCTCTCTATGTGGTTGGACTCTACAGGCAGATGTCTTTCTCTGTAAGGACTCTAGATCTGTGGTTTCTCCCAGCTTCACATGCTACTTTAGATTCTACAACAGGAAGAGACAAGCAGACGGGGCACCTCCTGAAATAGCCAGGACAAGGGGTTCACTGAGAGAATCCCTCTCCCCTCCTTACTGGAGGTCTTCCCAGGACATCATTTCAGTGCTGGTACATTACTTCCTAAAGATCAGAGTATTCCCAGGTCCCTGTGGCACACTTAAGCCAATTTCCTCACCAGAGCTAGAGCTCTCATGCATGCTTCTCTGAAAGTCAAATTCTACCTCTTACAGAATCCCTGTGAAGAGGAGACAGATTTAAATCCTCTGCAGAGTGTTTCACAGGTCATCAGAGGGACATCAAAGGTCACTCTGCATTCCAGGGATCTACAGCTTTGCCCAAAACATGAAATCTGTGCAATTATCTTTTCTACCAAAATAAGGGAAAAGAAAGAGAGAAAAGGCAAAGATGCCTCAGGTTCCTTCTGCTCCTCTGTTTTTCTCCATCCTCCCAAATCTTGTTCCTTCTCAAACCCTCTCCTCCATCTGACCTAACAATCTTCACATGGTGATGGCTTCATGCCAAGGAAACCACGTCGTCAAGAGACACCAGGACCACTCTACTCCTTTCCTGCCTCCACGTTTCAGTAAGCACTGGAGGGTGGACAGATGATGAAGGAGACCTGTGGCCCCCTCCCTCTCCGCTGGGAGCCAGAATGTCTCCATCTTTCCTTTAGGTTCCCCCTCCCCAGGACGGCTCATTCCCATCCCTCAGCAGCACTCCGCAAGGAGTCAACATGGACAGCACAGAGCATCAGCGAGACAGAGGCGGGGAGCTCTGCGAATGGTCTGGGCTCCAGCTCAACCGTGGAGCTCACTAAACTGCTGTTCTCGTCCCAGGGTGTCAAGAGTTGTTATAAGTACCTGACACTCCAGAGAGAACACACAGCAAGTTTCTCAGGAAGAAGACACATTTTTTTTTCTATCAACTGTTTTCAGATTGTGTGTGTGTACGTTTGAGAGACAAAGAACTAGAAAGGAACCTCAGGTGATTCACAGAGAAAAGAGAGTGCCTGAGTCTAATGAAGAACCACAGTGAAAGCCACAGTCTTCTTTCACACAGAACCAGAAGGGAAACAACAGCTCAGGTTCAATACTTAAGGATGGATTCTTCTTTCTCGGCCCATTTTAATGTTGTCTGATGTCAGAAAATGGTCATTTGAGAAAGTGAGCTGAGAAGTTTCCCTTCCAATTTGCACACCAGAGGGGAGCCAGCCCCCCCACTCTACTGACAAGAGAGACATCCCTCTTTGTACAAAGACATGAGTTAAAAGGTGGTGACTATAGTTATCAGAGACACAAATATATACAAATTCAAACAAAACAAAAATAAAAGCCTCTTCTAAAGGAATATTCCCCATAGGCTTCAACAATAAAAACTCTTTTACCGAGTTAAAAAGTGATTTAGCTTTGAAAAAATCTACCTATATAAAAAAACTTCACATTGATAGTGTAATAGGCCACTTTCATAGATACATACTTTCGTTGTGGCATTTTCTTTTCTATTTTTAAAATGTTAAACATAAAACTAAACAACTCTTCACATTTTAGAATCTATTTTGCTTTAAAAGATTCATGTTTCTTGCAACAAATTTGAGCTTTCTTTTTAATCTTTACCAGATGCTGTTTATACTACAAGCAATTTTTTTCAGTACCCCATAATGCAATTATTGTTTAATTAGTGATAAATCTGTCATTCCTGGGCTTAAAACCTTAACAAGTACCAAATGTGCTCTTATGTTGTAAGTTTACGTGAGGTCTCAGTGTCAGGACAGAGAAGCAGGGGTGCACACTGTGGGATGCCCAGCTCCGCACACTGGACAAACTCTTCCAGCCCTGGTCCCTGTGTCCTGCCACTGCTCACCTTGACCTCTCAGTGGGAGGGGCTGTATAATCCATTGTGTTTTTGTGGTCTGTTTGTGGGCCTCTTCCCCTCCACCTTCCAGTAGCTACAACGACAACCCCAGGAGTGAAGATTATCCTGCACCCTGGGCTTTCTTTGGGGACAGTATTGGGGCATCTAGTGCCCTCGTGAGGCTGACACTGGAAAGCGCAGCACAGACAGAAGCCCCACAGCACTTTTCTGGTACACCAAGGCCAAGTCTTCCTCTCCAGCTTTGGTTTAATTACATGTATCACATTAGAGCTCAGGCAGGAAGTACTTCAAGAACACTCATGGAAAGGCAGGGAGAGAAAAGGCTGGAGCACTAGTGAAAGCTGCTCATGTTGAGGACAGGAGTTACCACTTGTACTTTAGCAATGGGATTGTGCAGGGGACTTTCTGGGAAGTTTCGCCTTCTAAGGCCACAGTGACTGCCCTCTGAAGAATTCCTACCCAACAGAAGGAACACACTGAGGTGTCTGGAGCTCGCAGAGACAAAGATACTTTTTACTGAGCTACCAATTCTTCTAAGTAAGATAATTAATGAGAATAGTCTCCGACTTACAAAAGCCTTACCTGGCCTCCTGCCTTCCATGCACCCCTTCTTTGGGGCAGCTCTTCCAGGCCCTAAAGTGGTGGCTTCTAGAAGGCGGTCAGCTCACAAAGAGTGCATGGAGGGCATGGGAACCAGCGTGCCCCTGGCTTTGGCACGTAGCACAATGCAGCAGCCAAGCACAGGCCACCCTCCCATCCAGTCGGCCCTTTTCATTCAAACTGAGGACCTAAACAATAGCTTTCTGGGCTCCACACACAGCAATGTAACAGGAAAACAAGGCCAGCCTGGGCAAAGAGCAGAGTGCCTAAAGGGCTGCATAATTACAAGTGGCTTTCACTACTTCTGACGTCAGTGTTTAAGGTCAGGTCTGAGGCTACGGATTACGGTCTCCTGCTGACTGCTCTGTCAAAGGAAACACAAGACCATCTGTTTTTGAAACTTTTAGTCTGCAAAGTAAATGACAAACTGGGGTTAATACCCTGATCTATCTGGGGCCACCAACTATGGCAGGCAGCCATGATCTTGGGGCAATGAAGGGTAGAGAACCAAAAGTTGGACCTCAAACATAAACAGGTTTGGGAATGCATTAATATTCACAAGTTTCACACACGTGCACGCACACACATCTTGTCTGGAATTAAGGTGACTTGAAACTAGTTTCTTATTATTCATTGTCTTACCAGAAACTGCCAGGCCTCTCAAGTATCCAAATGACCAAAGGACACTCAAGGAGGTCATTACACTTTGCACAGCCCTTTTTTATTCTTTTTTCTTTCTCTCTCTCTCTCTCTCTCTCTCTCTCTTTCTTTCTTTCCCTTCATTTGGGTAACTATAGAATTTCCAGAAATCGTTCTGGATAGTCCCAGGAGATGGGGATATAATTAACAGTGTTCCACACAGAACACAAGTTATATAGACCATCACACTTTAATTACTGTCAGAATCCAGCGCTAATGCAATTGGCATCAGGTTTCTTGGGCAGCAAAATGCAGCAGTGGAGCTGGGTCTCCCAGATCTGATACTGTGAATGGCCCTGTCAAGGCCTGAAGATGCTGCACTGTGATAAATGAATCAGAAGATGCAATTAGGAAGCGGGCTCTTCAAGTTACCCCTGTAATCACTCAGCCAGGTCACGGGGCTTATTCTATCCTGCTGGGTTCTCTGGCTCTGTGGGTTCAATATGGTGGAGGAGAATACCTAAGCCAATCAGGGGCGTCCAGCTTGTTGTCTGTATTGTAATTATATCCACAAACCACAAGGCATAGAAGGGTCACATCCTGGTAATGCCACAATAAATTAAACCAAATAACACACCCTCAAATCCCCCCTCAACCATAATAAAAGCTCTGAAGCTCCCCACAGATGATCCTGATAAACTCCTTGTCAAGGACGGTTCCGCCCACAGCAGTCGGCCTGAGGTTCTCTATACAATGTCTTTGGGAGGGCACTTTGCTGTGCTCACCTAGGGCAGCTTGGGCCCAAGGCTCCAGGTAAAATGGATCCAGACAAGGTTCAGAGAAGAACCTGTAACATCAACAGTCACACAGCCCATGGGGCTGGGAAGCTTTCCACTGAGGGGAGATACAAAGGACAGTTATGAGCAAGCTGCAAGCCAAGAACCCAGGGCCATCAGTTTGCATTGAAACCAAGATAGACCAGAGATAAAGTAAAAAAAATCTCAATGTGCATATTTAATTTAGGAATAAAGGCATTTACCAGACAAAGTAACTTACTGCCTTAACTTGGAAGGGACTGTCAGCGGGCTTCCGGAATCAGCTACAAGATCTTTAAGGAAGCTGCACTCTGATTTCTAGCCTTAAGATTCTATGTAACTTTTGAAAATGGTGAGAAGTAGCAATCATGAATGCAAATGTATGTTCACATGCACACATGTGAGAGAGGAAATTCAAGCAACTGCTGCCCTGTAACTGATTCCCTTACAGTCTCCGATGTGAAAAGGTACAACTACGCAGGGCAGCCAGGCAGGCAGCCTCAGCACCATCCTTGGTTTAGGCCACGACCGAGGCAGACACATTCTCCCGTTTCCTGGCCACTGAGCTGAGATAGCACTATCCTGCACTGCTATGGAACTCATAGCCTCCATCAGATCCCCCAGCTCACAAGAGCCACTGAGAACACAGAGAAGGCCACTGAGGTTCCTGTAATGCGCCACTGCACCCGAAATGCTCTGCTCCTTGGCCACATTGAACATAACGTTAAGTTCTACATTTTTTTTTTTTTAGCTTGAGATAGGTTTCTCTGTCTGGCTAACCTGGAACTCACTCTGTAGACCAGGCTGGTCTCCAACTCACAGAGATCCACCTGCCTCTGCCTCCAAGTGCTGGGATTAAAGGCGTGCACCACCACACCTGGCTCAGATTCCACTTTTAATAGGATTCACATGACTGTTGTGCCAGCACAGACTCCTCTCTATAACCATGCTGGGTGGCTGAGGTCACAGCGTGTGGTGTCCTGGGCCTTCCACTCTAAACCCTGACACTAAGAATCTGGGATAAAATACCTTCGAGAAGAGGAGACACCGGTGCCTGCAGACTGCACTTGAGACACAAGCATGCTCGCTAAACAGGCGCTGGCGGCTGGAGGCCTGCCTGGGTGAACAAGCCCTTTAAGTCCACTGAGGACTTCACCAGAATCTAGGCCTAGGCAGCTTCTTCTGTGGACACTGGCTGATTTCTTATCAGCGCTCTGTACACAGTAAATCTCTTTCATATTTCAGTGGTCTTGCTACGTTGCCCAGTCTGTTTTTAATTACATTTCATTTATTGGGGGGGGGGTGGAACATGTCATAGCACATGTGGGGAGGTCAAAGGGCTGGGTGTGGTAGTTGGCTCTCTCCTTCCGCCCTGTGGGCACTGAACTCATGTTGTCTGATTTGACAACAAGCACCTTTACCCACAGAGACATTTTGCCCACCCAATCAAACTGATAGAAAATCGGCTCAGTTGACTCCCACTTGTGCCTTCTAAGTAGTTAGAACAAGTCAGTGAACCACTGGGCTCAGTTTGGTTTGCTTTACACACACACAAACACTTCCACACCTCTGCTCATTCTTCCTTTGTGTATCTTACAGGAAAGCAGTTCATTTGAAAGATACTTTTGTCTCAGTCTGTCTTAAATAAGAGGTTCTGCCCTACTGGGGAAAACATGATTGTTGGGGGGAAACTGTCACTAGATATTATGTATTCTTTTTCCTGGGGACACTGGTTCTTACAGAACCCCACTAACCAAGCTAAAGGCAGACACTGACTGGCCAGGCCCTGACCACTGCCTGGAAGTCGGGCCATTGGTGCCAAGTCCTTAGGGCTCTTGAAGGAAGTGGAGGCTTCGGTATGCAGAAGCTTCACCCCCCCCCCCCAAAATATGCACACAAATCCAACTGGGTTTGCTGCTTTAAGCATTTTTCTGAGCTCTCGTTCGTTTCTCTCTAATACTCAACTTTATCCTCATGGAGAGCTGTAGGTTCAGTTTCTAAATTTGTATTAACTGGTTTTTCTTCTCCCTTTTCTATAAGAGCCCCTGTTTTAAGAACATGTTTCTCACACTAAAATGAGAAACAGTATTTTTTAAAAGCCTACTTTGCATCTCTGGCTCTTCAGAACCCTGGGAAGTACATTCTATACAAGCTATAGGTAAGGACATGGCCTGTCTGTCTTCTGTAAAATGGGGCAATGTGGTGGAACAGAGCATCAGGAGGTGAATGGAGCGAACACACACACACACACACACACACACACCCCATAGGAAAGTCCTAGGGCATTAGATGTCCCTAACTAAATATAAACGGGAAGCATAAAGGCCCCAGCTCTGGTCGCACTTTTTACTTCTGTCACTCTTTAACTGAAGGCAATCCTCTCAGCAATTCGTTTAAGGGTTTTTCTTGTCACTGAAGTCCAGCACGTACCAGCAATGACTCTTTTATACAGCACTCCATCTCTCTCAGGCAATTTCTCTTGCTGGAGAGCAGCTTTTCAAAAAGAATCAGCACTGCTTTTTCAAGACTGGGGAGATGGTGAAACCAGAGGCTGACCACAGAGGACACGGGCAGAATGATCTTTCTCCTTTGAGCAAGAAATAAGCAGAAGGTTAAACAGAATAGATTCCTGAAAAGACATCAAAATGAGCAATGTTCAAATGGCAATCACTAATCAAGTGTGTGAGACGTGGTTTTCTCACCATGATCTTGGCAGCTGTCGATATTGATGCATCTACTTGCAAAATACTATGGCAATCTCTCACCTAAAACCTCGGGAACCCTTAGAAGGTGAAGACTGCTTCCCAAAGCATATACAAATACATATCAAAGAAAGGGAAAAAGGAAAAATGAGATGAATAAAATCCCTGTGATATCCAGGAAATAAGGACGCAAAGTTAAGAGGCAAGCTATGTTTAAAACTGAACTAGATTGAGACCGGAAATAAGTCCATAGTCCTAAGGAAGTTACCTGGCCCTTCATAGCCTCAACTTATCTGTAAAACCAAATTGGCTAGAAGGATCCAATGTAGCAGTGCATATGTAATACACAGACAGCACAGACCACACTGTGAATTCTCAATAAATAAAAATGCAAGTCTTAATGGGAGATGGCCCAGTTGGCACATAGTAAATCTTATGTTACAGCCAAACCATGTCATGTAGCTTTAGCTTAGTATTTTATCTTTTGTGTGTAGTCTAAGTACATGTGACAATGTGGCATATGTACATGTGTGTATTTCCATGCACGCATGTATGCAGAGGCCAGATGACATCAGATCTCCTCTAGTAGGCAGGGTCTGTTCCTGAACATACAGTGCATGGTTGGTTTTGTTTTTCCTTCTCTTGGATAGACAGGCAGCCAGCGGGCACAGCAAGAGCACCCCCCTGCCCACACACACTGTTGGGGCTACAGGCATGTCAGGGGTACTGCTCAGCATGAGGCTGGCACCCGAGTCTCCTCAATCTAGGAGTAAAGATATACCCTAGTCTGTGTGTGACAAGCTCATAATTATAAACACAAATGCCTCCGACTCTCAAAAGTGTTGTGTTCTAACTTAAACAGTTGCGACATGTCACATAGTCACCTTCTGTGGTCAGCTGGTGTTAATCATCCACGCTGCCAGGAGCTAATTGTACTTACTTATCTCATCCACTGTATAGATGCCAATCTCCCCTTCATCTCTCTGGATACCACACTGATATCTACCACTTCAATCTGACTCTGATGCCCACTACCCATGGCTACTGCGGTCATCAGTAAGAGACTCATCCACAAACTACGAGTCTTCTGGTTAAAAACAGCTTCCCACGATCCCTTCTTCGGGTGTGTAACAATTTGGTAGAGCAGGCTCAGAATTTACAACAATGCTCTAACAACAATCAGCAATTCATTCTAAAAGGAACAACCAGGAATGGTAGGATAGAGGACCCAGATAAGACACACGGGGGTGGGCTCAGGGTTTCTATGCCGTCTCCAGGTACACCAGTCTTGCGGTGTCTTTGTGTTCACCTGGATGCTTTTCAAGTCCTGTGGCTGAGCTGATGTATGACCAGCCACTGGTAATTACGCCCAGTTCTAGTGGTCACAAGGCTGGTTGCTCTCTGCTCTTAGCCCTGATCCTGAAGCTCTCCAGGGGCCCAGAAGACTCACCCCTTAGCCTAAACTTACATATAATTGGAAAAGGCTCCCTATCACTCAGGAAATCCCAGAAGTTTTAGACGCTTGGACAGAGACCACACATGTATCTTTTACTCTGTCATAACATAGAAGCCCTGCATCCATCTCTGCTTTAAGCACAGGAAAAGAAATCTCTGCATGCCGTCATCAGGCTCCCCAATGTTCCTGAAGCACTGGATTTGGGTTTAGTTCAGAGAACATGACACACTCAATTACTAACACTCCATAGATTAATGAAAGAGTCTCAGCAGCCTTCCCACCTCTGCAAGAGTTTAGGTAGTCTGCAGACCTGGGACAAGACTCCTGGGTATGAATTTTATAAAAAGTTAGGTTCGACATTTAAGTCAAGAAATCAAAAGGTTCCTCTAGGTTATCTAAACCACAAAGGGGAACCAGCATGAATTGTTTAGAGGAAACAGCCCATTTCTGGAAAATACATGACTGTATTTGGAAGCCAAGGCAAAAGACGCCCAGTCAATTATAAAACACAGGAATTCCACCGTGTGCTGTGGTAAGCAGTTGAGAAGCTGAACATAGGGCAAGGCTGCTTTGGTCAAAGAAAGCTGTGGTTTCTAGCAGGCCACACAGCCCTTCTGGGGAACTGTTCAAGCTGGGAGGGGTGCAGGGCGTGGAACAGCAATCTGCACGGCTCACTGAGTCAGCCTCCTCTGTGGACCTGTGGCGGATGGGCTCTCCACAGGAAAGGTTCCAGCCAATGTGGCTCTGGGTTGACTCACTAGTCTGAAGCTGTTGGAACTGGACATGCTGAGGACCACCCAGCATTTCTGGACAGTCTGTCCCTTGTGGATTAGTAGACATAACTTTCCAAACCAAATAAACTGTATTAGTAGCTGAGCAAGAACACTCTATCGTACGTGAAATAGACCAAGGGCGGGCAGGCTCTCACCCTGGGCTCTGGGCAGCATGTCTCCCGGTCCGTAATTTCTGAGACTGCTGTTGGGGTTTACAAAAGATGCCAAAGGTGGTCTGCTTTAAGGCTGACATAGAAATGCAGGTGAATTACTATAATCAGAGATGGAGCTTTCCACTGTGCTGTGTTGTATAAAAGGTGCGAGTTGGTGAGAAAACCATAAGAACCTCAAGGACTCAGCTGAACTGCAGGTGGTGATTACTCAATACCAATGAATAACAAAGGTAATGCAGATTTCTCAAAAGTTGAGACATACTGAGTAAATTATGAAAGAAGGATTGAAGAAAACAGAAGAAAATGACTTCAACTTTTCATGTTTATTTATATGGGCATGTATTTATGAGGGTGTGGGGTGTGTGTGTGTGTGTGTGTGTGTGTGTGTGTGCAGATGCCCACAGAGGCCAGAAGAGGGCATTATGAGGGTATGGTGTGTGTGTGTGTGTGTGTGTGTGTGTGTGCAGATGCCCACAGAGGCCAGAAGAGGGCATTATGAGGGTATGGTGTGTGTGTGTGTGTGTGTGTGTGTGTGTGTGTGTGTGTGTGTGTGTGTGTAGATGCCCACAGAGGCCAGAAGAGGGCATTATGAGGGTATGGTGTGTGTGTGTGTGTGTGTGTGTGTGTGTGTGTGTGTGTGCAGATGCCCACAGAGGCCAGAAGAGGGCATTGTGAGTTGCCAACACGGGTACTTTGAACTTTTGCACTGAACTCGAGTTTTCTGCAAGAGCACTTGTGTGTTCTTAGCCCCGAGCCATCGTGTTTGTGTGTGTGTGTGTGTGTGTGTGTGTGTGTGTGTGTGTTTTAAGACAGAATCTTGGTAGGTATAGCCCAGATTGGCTTTGATTTGTGGCAATCCTCCTGTCTCAGTTTCCTGAATGCTAGACCACATATAGTTCTTGTTTTAACCTCTTTTGTAAACATTCAACAATTTAACCTTCTCTGAATTATTAGCTTTCATAGAAAATGAAATATGTATTGTATATAAATGTTAAGAGTTATATATGGAAAATGGAAATACTCTACTAGGAACTCTTTCATTTCCCAAATGTAACGAACGATGCAACAGGATGCCTGAGATGGACGAGAAGATGACAGCCAAGATTTCAAGATACAAGACAGTAACTGGAGTTACAAAAGCCTAAAGGGCACACATAGGCAACACAGCAAATGCTGCTAGATCACAGAGTGAAGGTGAACAGACAGACAGGTGTACTCACAGGTAAACAGGAAGCTGTAACATGCAAAGATGCTGTTCTCTAACCCACACACTTGATGAGGTATCTTTCCAGAGGCCAAATCACTTTTAGAATTTATATGGAGGATAAAACAAGCAACACACACACACACACACACACACACACACACGCACACACACCATTAAACTACAAAGAAAGAAAAATGAGAAGAACTAGAATTATGTTATTATAAACACAGAGAGGCAAGGCAGACCCATCTGCACCCAGGAGAGGAGCAGAAGCTGAGGAAACTCTCAGGCTATACCCTGGTGGGAAGGGACCGGCATCCTTTACCACACCAGAGATAGCCAAATGTTCTGCAACCTCAAAGTGGAGCAAGGAAACCTACCATTTTAGCAAGTACTTTGCAAAGCCAACTTACAGCTTGAAAGAAATATAAAGGAACTTATGAACCAAATACAACAGGAAGCTTTGAACTCTGATTCTAACAATAAAAAAAAATTACATAACAGGAGAACTTGGGTCCTGATTAGCTATAAGGTGATGAGAAGGAACTAATAACAATTTTCAGTATACATTATATATGGCTTTTAGACTTTTTACATTTATTTACGTATTATTTAAGTATTTATTGTGTGGAGGCATGGGCAGCCCACAGAACACATGTAGAGGTCAGAGGACAACTTTCAGGAGCTGATTCTGTCTTTCTTTCAGTGGGCTCTGGAGAAGGAACTTTTGTTACCAGACTCATTGCAAGTGTTCTTACCCCCTAAGTCATCTTCCTGGCCCTAGAGGTCTGTTTTGAAAAAAAAACAAAAAATGCTTATATGTTTAACAATTCCTATTTTCTGTCTAAAGCATTTAAATAAACAAAGAATTGAAAGAAATATACGTAATACCCACCAAGTTATCTTGCCAGACCAAATTTAAGCTTTGAAGTGGAAATTAGAACCTTAGAAAGTCTGTGACAACTTTCCAACACTCTGTGACATGTTAACCAGGCTGGCGGTGAGAGCAGCAGCTGATGTTTTCACCGTACAGTGGAATGTGCAGCACCGGGAGATGTACATGATAAGGACGGAGATTTTCCAAATGAGTCACACATCATGCTACAAAGCCATACAGAGGTGCAAGACCTAAACTACAAAACAGGCTATGACTGTATGCATGTGTGTACATGCATGAATATGGCGCATGTGCACATGGAGAGGCCAGACACTAGGTGCCTCCTGGAATCACTCTCTAGTTTATTTCTGAGACAGAATCTCCAACTTGGCCTGGAGCTTCTGATCTGGCTAGGTTGCCGCAGGGATCGTCCTGTCTCTGCTTGCCTTTCACTAGGATTACAGGTACATGTCACCACAGTGGGCTTTTTCTGCATAGGTGCAGGGGATCTGAAATCAAGCATTCCTGCCTGTATTGCAAGTACTTTGCCAAGTGAGCTACCACCCCTGGCCAGGTCAGTAGATTTTAATGTAACAGATTATAAACATCCTATTAATACAACCTTAGATCCCACACTGCAGCTCACGTTTAAAATCATGACCTCTCAAATTTAGGTCAAAGCAAACTCTCCACTCCTGTCGCCAAGGCTGCTATGGTAGCACTGCCATTTTAATTATGCCACTGTGTGAGGATAGGCATTTACATCAGTACATCCCACAGACTGGACCTAGCTTTCCGATGCCAGGCAAAGAGGCTCATAAGACATAAAAATAGTGTTACCTGTCAATCAGATTATCTCTGTCTTATAAAATATCACTGTTTGGCCGGGTGGTGGTGGCACACACCTTTAATCCCAGCACTTGGGAAGAAGAGGCAAGCAGATCTCTGTGAGTTCGAGGCCAGCCTGGTCTACAAGAGCTAGTTCCAGGTCAGGCTCCAAAGCTACAGAGAAACCCTGTCTCAAAAAACCAAAAAAGACCACTGTTTGTTGTTACTATTGTTACCGTTTCTGATGCTGTGCACACCTGCAGAGGCCAGAGGAGGACAACAGGTAACTGCTCTATCACCCTCCATCTGATTCCCTTGAGATAGGGTCTCTAACTGAACTTGGATCTTCCCTTTAAAGAGTGGTTGACCAACAAGCCCCAGAGATCCACCAATTTCGTCCCACACCCAGTGCTGGACTCCAGTGTGTAAAACCACGTGCAGCTTTTATGTGGCTGATAAGCATCTGGAGTTGTGCTTGCTCGGCACTCATATCTCCCACGCCATCCCCACAGCCCTTCAGTTCTGTTTCCAAATGCAGTGAACTTCTTTGGAAGTAATATTCTCCCTTCTCTTTCCTCCTTCCCCTCCTTTTGAAGGGCTGAGGATCAAATCTATGTTTCAATGCTGGGCAAGCATTCTGCCTCACTTCTATAAACATTGACTAAATTTCTGGGTGTGGTTTCATATATGACAAACATTGGGAAGTATAACCCACATAAAGCTCTTTGGAATCTTCAGTAATTTTTAAGAGCATTGGAGGGGACAGAGAAGGCTGGGCTGAAGGAGGAAAAGCTTAAAGGTGCTTGCTGCTAAGCCTGGTGACCTGAGTTCAATCACTGGTACCCAAATGAACTTAACAAGAAACCAAACTCCTATAAGCTGTTCTCAGACCACCACACTAATAATAAATATATAAATAATAAACAATGAAGGGAAACAGAATATTAAATACACTATCATATGTTTTTTTCCACACCACAACATTTCACGACTAGGAAAAACAAGTTGAGTGATAAGATCGATGGACTCACGACAAGAAGGCTTCATTCACAGCGTTGAAGAACTCAGGAGAGAGGACCTCCTGGGGCTCATGCCCATGATAGGTGAGGAGAGCCTCCACCAGGGGTTCGAAATCAGGCAGAGAAACCAGAGGGACACAAACTTGTGACAGGCACATCATGCGCTCAGGAGCCATCCTACTGGAGAAAAAGGTAAGAAGTGACGGCCAGATCAGAAAATCACATGGAACTATGGACAAGTTTTCCCCCTGAAAAGGACAGTGACAGGACCCCATGCTGGCCAAGCAAGATCTTCTCTAGTACTGTGTGCCAGGTCGTCTTCAGTCACTGTCATTCCCATGTCTGCTGTACACACAGGAGTGCTTTATCTGTACAGCAATCGCAGACACACATGACCGACGCCCTGTACCCCCCACAGAACTCCTAAGCGGATGCTGGCCTGCCTGACCAGCAGCCACTGCCACGCTGGCTCGGCCCACACACCTCCAGCTGCGTGTGAGCAGCCTCCTGACCACCGCCGGCATCTGTCTCACCCCACTGTGGATCAACACAGACGGTTTGGCACCCTCTCAACTCCACATCACTACACACAGCTCTGCAAAAGTCCTTCCGCACTGAGACAAATAGTCTCCCCTAGAGGGCTAAAGGTCCTTGTGCCCATAGGTAAGCACTGGAGAAACCAGGAATGTCAAACATGCAGGTTTGTCTCTTGTGTGCCTGTTTTCTACCTGAAGGCTGGGAGTAGATGTAGTTAATAACCTGATGGTGATTTTGCTATCTACAGAGCAGGCCTACCCTGAATCCCATTGTTATTCAGTAGAACCCATCCTTAAGAGAGATGTCATATGTACTTTGGAGTTTGGTGACCTCTACTTTCTCTGTATGATCAAGACCACACCTAGTCCTCCCCGATCTGCACACAGGACTGAGGTAACTGTTACCACCTAGTCCTCCCCATCTGCACAAAGGACTGAGGCAACTGTTACCACCTAGTCCTCCCCGATCTGCACACAGGACTGAGGTAACTGTTACCACCTAGTCCTCCCCTATTTTTTACCACTGAACTTTTCTTTGCCCCAAAATTGTACTGTACTTAAATGCCCCAAAATAAATAAATGAATAAATAAACTATCCAGTGTCAGATTCTAAAAGTCTGAGCCAACATCAGCTAAGTCATGTTGAACCAAATTTCCTTCTTGCCTTACTTGGATCAGTACACTTTTAGCGATGACGTTTGCAGGGACTCCCCCAACCCCAAGTCTCCTGCTCGGCCTTCTAAGTAAGGGCCTGTTGTCCAACCTGACTGTGAAATACTGCTAGCAGCCTCAAGTCACAGGAGTCTCAAATGCTTTGTGACAGCTCTCCAACCACTGCCATCAGTACAACGACTGTTGTGTGTAACAGTTTAACCGAGTTAGGGACTGGGACCCTAGCAGTGACTCTGATGGGCAGTAGCTGCAGCGTTAGCAGAGAGCACGCTAGTGAGCACAGCCACAAGAACCCTCACCTCGTCCTTATGTGTTCTCAAGTTCCCACCCCCGCTGCACTGCACAGGAAAGGGCTGGGCCTGGGCTAGCATGCAAGCCTTTTCTGTTTGGATCAGAGCTTACTCTTTACACCGAGTGACTCCCTATACACAGCGTATGCTGAAGAAACAGATGTTACACAAAACTCTAAACTGATAAAATCAAAGGTCTGAGCATACATCACCAGACCCTCACCCATGTGTTTTCATAAATAATTTGGTCTTAGATTTTAAGCACCAATGTGCCACATACAGTTCTCATGTCCCTTTACATGACATTACATGTGTACCTAGTACTAGACACAGTCTAAGCCCAGGTCACACACCCATGTGTAAGTGTGTTCACGTATTACATTCCTTGCTGGGGGCATATGGCCCAACAGTTAAGAGCACTTACTGCTCTTACAGAACATAGGGTTTCTCGGCTGTCTCCAGTCCAAGCTTAAGAAAATCAACTGAATAATTTATCTGTCCCTGAGTTCAGATTTTCAACTGATTCTCCAGTTAAATAACTTGTTCTTTCCTCATGAGTTAAATTCCTAGGGGGAAAGTGCAGGGTTTTAGTATTATAGCTACAACCCACCACTGTCAACCACTCCATGTTAATTCTTCTGACCACATCAGGAGACACTGTTGGGCAATGTCAGCTGGAACAGCATCCCTTTGTGCCAGGCTGTACCATATAACTGCTTAAAACAATATGGACAAAACCTTAGCCCAGAGCACAGTCCACTAAAGGACATGGTGATGACACCAGGTAGATGGGATGGTAATCACTGTGCTAAGCAGTTATTCCTCACAGCAGCAAGTCTGTGCAGGACAAAAACGGACGACGTCTGACTCCACAAAGTCCATGGGATGCACGTGCTAGTCACATCCCAGGAACCCTGGCCCACCTCAAGCCTTCCTCACATGTTCCACTGAATTCTGCTTAGCATAGTCTTTTTTCCCTCACCCACTCAAAGAATTTTATAATTGAATAAGAATCATTTTTTCCCTGGGAACTTTGCAGTGTGTTGAGCCAGTGCATAGTTTTTCTTTTCTTTTCTTTTTTCTTTTTTGTTTTTTTTTTTTTTTTTTTTGGTTTTTTCGAGACAGGGTTTCTCTGTGGCTTTGGAGCCTGTCCTGGAACTAGCTCTGTAGACCAGGCTGGTCTCGAACTCACAGAGATCCGCCTGCCTCTGCCTCCCGAGTGCTGGGATTAAAGGTGTGCGCCACCATCGCCCGGCTAGTACATAGTTTTTCAAAGGAAATCCAAGCTGTCTATGGAGTTCATTTATTCTTATCAAAAGACTGACTTTAAGAAGTAACTTGATGCCTTACGTGCTCTTCAGTCTTTTTATGAGCTTTTAAAGTCTTGTTTTTTAATAGCTAAAAACCATGAAATTCTGTTCCCTGTCCATTAAAAATAACTTAGTCCCTTAGAATCTTGGACAAGAGTCAAATGTCATGTGTGGGGTGTCTGTGCAAGTGTCTGAAACAAGGTCTCACTGGGCCCTGGGCTCACTGAATGGACCACGCTGGTCAGTCAGTGAGCCTCGGGGACCCACTGTCTCCGTCTCCCCAGGATTAGGATTGCGAACATTACCACCACACCCAAGTTTTTACATGAATGCCAGGGATCAAACTCAGATCCTCCTATTCACACAGCAAGCACTTTACCACTAAAGTACTTCCTCGGCCCCAAACTGGGAATTCTTACGGTGTGCTGCCACGTAATCTTTAATGGCAACCCGGCATCTCTGTCCTGAGTGACAGCACCGCAAAGACGGCTGCCAGACCTGACGGGGCCATCACAGCCGTGCTACCACTAGGAACACCACCTTTTATAGCTCAAGTTACCTGCCAAGATTTTAGCTGAACAAAGCAGAACCTTGGACTCAGAAACAGCACAGTGGCCTACAAACTTTCTGATACATACCTGAATCTATAAAATTGCACCCACTTATGAAAACACGCCTGTTATTATTGTTTCTTTCACTAGGTTGACTTCCAAAGTTCAAGCAGCTGAAGGCCCCAAACAAAATCCCAAATGAGCAAGCTGTGCTATTCTTTACTTTGCTTCCACTAAGAGACTCCATTCACTATTAATATTTTAATCACTTGATTAAAGTTCATTTCATAAGTTTCAAAATCTTCATAAAACAGACTGACGCCATGAGTTCAGATGCAGAGACGTAAAAAAAGCTCCAGGGCTTCATTTAGAGGCTGATAAATAGTCATGTGACCAAGAAAAAAGTGTTAACAGTTCAATAACAGATGTTTAAATTCTACCCAGGTCTTTCCTACAAACATCTAGAACGTGTTTCCAAGCAGTTGCCTCAACCGACTGGCTGGAAAGCTGCAGACAGCCATACAGGAAAGATGTTTCTGGTTGGCATCAAGCCTCTCAGTTCATTCTGGTGCAGAAGTCCTTTGGAATATTACTTTGGCCATGAGTGTAATGTGGTCTGCTGTTGTGGGAATTCATTCGGCCAATGGCCTTTTGGGTAGCGGCCCATTAGGGCGTGGTCTGAGGTACTCTGTGTGGACTGATGAGCACAGGTGAAAAGTGAGCTCGTTCTCTGGGGTGCTGGTCAGGGGTCTGTTCGCAACATCCACAGAGAAAAGGACGGTGGCTCTCTACCGTTATTGTAATTTTTCCCCCAAATAAACATTTGTTATCCTTTATTCCGGGCTCTCATGGACTTCCTCAATTATGCCTACATTCTAGCACCCAACACAGGGCGATAACAGAGCCCTGCATGGCCCCCTTTGAACATGGATGTTCAGGTTCTGGCCTGTCTGCATTTTGGTTAACAAAAGCACTACCTAATTTTATAAGAGTCTTTAAATTGTTTGTTTGGAGACAGGGTTTCTCTGTGTAGCCCTGGCTGTCCGGGAACTTACTCTGTAGACCAGGCTGGCCTTGAACTCAGAAATTCTTCTGTTTCTGCTTCCAGAGTGCTAGGATTTTAAAATGTGTGGCACCACTGCCCAATAACCTTAAAATTGTTAATGAAATTGATCATGGGCCTTTTCCAGACTTGCTGAGAGATACACACTGCAGCCACTGAGATGTAGGGCTTGGTCGGTGTTCTCAGTGTCAACGGTCTTTCCACCTACTCAGTCCTCCTCCTCTTTCAGAAAATGAGAAAATTCACACCTGCAGGTCTTTTAGGGTGGAGAATTTCATGATAGGCACTGACTCTGTAGCCAATGAACACCAACTCGACTTCACAAACATTTGTGTTGACTCTATGGAACTTAAGACACTAGGGCTCTCTATTATATATAAACTTCCAGCACAGCTGTTCCTTTCTTACACTGCTCGGGATTCAAGTTCACAAACATCCATCTGGCTCTATGTAACAAATGATGCAAGGGCTTCATGCAAAATAACTAGAGGAAAATACCCAGTGTTATGGAATAAGATGTCTGTTACTGTGTAAATTACACTGTGATTGGTTTAATAAAGAAGCTGAATGGCCAATAGCTGGACAGAATAAGGTTAGACAGGAAATCCAGACTAAGAACACTGGGAAGAAGGGAGGAGTCAGAAAAGTCACAGGAGACACAGAGGGAGCAAGACATGCTGGAGGACAGGTAAAGCCACAAGCCACGTGGCAGCACAGAGAGTAATAGAAATGGGTTAATTTGAATTGTAAGAGGT